AAAATTGCTGCAAGGGCATTTTGCTGTAAAACAAGTATTTGTGATAAAAACAGTTAGCTTTGTAGGGTTAGGGTGCTCTTGAATAACGAATCAATTTTAGGTAAAAATGTACTTCAAAAACCCAACTGTTTTTATCACAAATACTTGTTTTACAGCAAAATGCTTATCCGGCGAAATTTCCTGCGGCGAGATTTCCTAGGGCGAAATTTCCTAAAACCACATATAAATCCTGTTAAAAGTTTCCGCTTTTCCAAATGCTACTTTCAATTCATTACTTTCAAACACTCTTGAGTCTATAAAAACACAACGGGGTGACAATAGTCGCTTCCCGGATACAAAACTTCAAGATAACTTTGTCTCGCTCTTGAATAAACTACTTTAACTCATAACAATGAAGAAATCGTTCGTCTCATATCAAAATGACGCAATCATGATTTGTTGTTACAATTGCTTATATCAGACAATAAATCGGACATAGGCAATCTACGGCCCGCGGGGAAAAGCCGGATGATTCAATCTGGCCCGCCTGATGCTGCCATAAATGTCTGCTTAACCAATTTTGCATGCACTACATAGTTTATGTTATTGAAATCTGTATGGCGCAATAGGCTTGTTGGATTAAGATTATAGTCAGCGTTTCTTGTATTTTAGGTCCACACAAACTTATTTGGACCTCCTGAAGTATGCGCACCAAGATGGCGCACAACCTGAACTCAGGTTGTGTACCTGGTTGGGTTCAGGTTGTGCGACATCTTGGTGCGCATACTTCAGGAGTACCTTGTCGTGTGCCGTCACGCACAGCCCTGAGTTTCAAGTTAGTGCCGATAAAGTTTTTTTAACGTCCCCATAAGTCGTAACGCTCTCTTAGCGGTATTTTTTATCTATAGCTTACCTATTCTTGCCATTCTGTTCATAAAATGTAACTATTTACGTCACAGTTAGGCTACACCGCCCGCCAGTCTAGGTGGGCAAAATCTTTGGCCCTTGGTTCAGAAACCTTGCCCTCCCCAACAGTGTAAATTGACTATAAATTTCATTTTCGAATTGTTTACTGACTGAATAAAGTATTACGGATCACTCATTTTACCTGTGTCGGATGTTTAGCAAGTATCAACTTTATTTACTGGCGTGACCTCAATTATATACTGCACTATTACTACTACTTTATTTCGTTACACACATAGCTCGTGAAGTAAAGTTACTTTAATCCTGATTTTGTATTTAGTTTAAAAGTCATAAATTGCCAGACGAATTTATTTATATTACAAAACCTTAATTTTAGTTTTCGTAACTTATAAATTATTCGAATCGGTTCAGATGAGTATTCCAAATCGCCGCCATCTTTTTTTTTGTCCGCACGCAGGTAGAGATCAATTTCCTTTTTTTTTTTGTCCATGTCAAATTTCTTACAGATGACTTTTTTCCTCCTAGCGACTTTTTGATGAAACATGTTACTTACTGTATGTGAACACTCAATGAACTATCTGAGTGATAGATTATGTGTGTTTTAAAAATTATGTGTCTGTAGAATCAATTACAATAAAACAGTCAATACAACTATATATCTTTCAAGAACTCGAGTTTCATTTCGAAAAAATATATTTGAATCGATTCTGAAATCATTTAATATTCAAACATGCCCAGCCCTAACTGTGGCCTGACAATCAGTTTTTATCTTGTCTGCACACTGCACACCACTCCGAATTCCATTTTTGAAAATTCGGCTGCCGAATTCGCGGGGTTTTTCAACCAGTCTATTCAAATTTCTTGAATACACCAATGCCAGCCAGAGGCGTAGCTTAGGGGGGGGCAGTGGGGTACATATGCCCCCGGGCGCCAAGGTATAGGGGCGCCAAAATGGGGCTTGCAAACATTTCACAAGGGTAAAAAAACAGTCACAAGCAAGATCGTTAGGTTCTTGCCTGCGCACTCCGATGTAAGTTGATATTAGTTCTGTGCTGGAGACAAATGGAAACGAAATTTGGTTGACTGATGTTAATACATGTTTTGAGTAATACGTGGTTTTGTATTTCGTTGTTGTCAAAATACCGTACTTTGCGGCAGAGTTACATAAAATATATTATACTGTGCTAAAAGACCCCAATGCCGTTTTTGACAATTCGTCGAGATTGCACAGATTTTGCAAATTTCTACGATACGGACATCAATGGCCGCGAACTTTTCACCGAAATTGGAGATTGCAGAATGCTGCTCAGTAACAGAACTGTAGGTCAACCAGAAACTCCTTTGGCTCTTCTTGGTTTTATTGTGTCTTCTGGAGACGACGTTTTACCCAATCTGCGAATTTCTCTACAAATTTTGTTAACAATACCAGTTTCAATTGCAAGCTGCGAACGGTCTTTCAGCAAATTGAAACTTATTTTGTCGTATTCGCGTGCATCAACGGGACAGGATCGTCTCAGTGATCTTGCACTTCTAAGTGTTGAAAGAGAAACAGATTTTGATGACGTGTTAACCAGTTTACGACAGTGAAATTGAAAAAAATGAATTTATTGTAGACTATGCAAATCATCTTTGACAGTAACTGAGTGGGACATACGCTCTTTTTTGTATAGCTTTGCTTCTTCTTTAAATAAAATGTTCCATTAAAATTTGAATTTACATATACATATATTTTTGAATAAATAATAAAATATATAAATACATATAAATTTGAATTCACATATCGTCACGGTAATAACCGAATTGCGTAAGTCATTTTTGGCGGTTTTGAGTTTTTCATAAAATAGGTATTTATATAATGCTGCGCACCTGTCTGCTAACTCAGATTTTATTTTAAGAATTCCGAAACCCATAAAAATAGAGATTTTGTATAATATGCAAATTTGTTCAATTGCTCCGTCATAATGAATTATCATTGTTAACGTAGGACTATTGTGACGTCACAAAGGCAAAATAACCTCGGCGAAGGATTTTCGAATTTTTGCATCTCAGATTCTAGCTTAGCGCCAATAATTTTGATTTTATACTACTGTATAGAAAGGCGTGCACTTGTGATATTCACTGTCTGAGTCCAATTCACCTTGGTTGACTTTTATATAAGGGTACATTGCTGTTTTATTCTTTATATTTAACTTTAGTCTTATTTCGGTGATGTGCAGAGCGTGTTATATTGATGAAATAAATATTTTTAAACATAAAAAATAATGCAATTGAAACAGATTAGCTATTTTGGGGATTTTGGATTGTTTGGTTTTCAGGACTGGTACATATAGTCAAGTTGCAAAATTGCGTATGTCCCCTAGTCATAGACACACTTTTGCCTAAGTCACAGTGCGCCATTATGACGTCACATGACTGCGTCATACAAATTAACTTAAATCCGGCTACGATCAAAAAGTTGAACTATGGCAAATTAATGGCATAGCAATATCATTAGGAAGTTTTTTTTACGTTTTTCTCAAAACAGCTAAAAATGACTTACGCAATTCGGTTGTTAGCGTGACGATATATAATTTGTTTTTACATATACAATTAAATGCAATAGAAAACATGATCAAACGTGGGGGTCGGGGCGCCAATTTTATATTTTGCCCCGGGCACAAAATATGCTGGCTACGCCTCTGATGCCAGCACAACATTAGGAACTTTCGATTGTAATTTCGACTTCCAAACTTCAAAAGATTTTTAGGTTGACCGTAAGCTTAAAAATATGTGCTGAAATAACTGACGCATAAACCAATAAAACAATTCGAAAAATCTAAACCAGGGGTGTACAACAGGCGGCATACGAGCCACATCCGGCCCGTAAAGCCTTTTAGTGAAGCCCTTGTCGACACTCAGAATTTTGCCAATCAAGCAGAAAATCCTATTCCGACAGCTTACGTTGGAAAAGGCTAAAATGGATTAAAATACATATTTCGCTGCGTTAAATCTTTCGCCGTTTTGTCCGATGCCATTATTACTGTAAGGCTGTAAGCCGCATTCTTTTGATTTCTCTTCCCGCTAAATATTTTGTGTGGCCCAGCTAGATTAAGTTGATTATATGGCCCACCGACAAAAAATGTTGCACGCCCCTGGTCGGAACCCTGTGTACCCTGTGTTGATCATATAGTTGTGGATTTACATATCGCACTGGTGGTTTCCACCAGGAGTGTAGGCAGGGAGAGGGTGTGCACAGCGTTTACAAACTGTGTTCCGCGGAACACTAGTGTTTTGCGAGCGTCTTCCGTTTATTCGGTGAATAAGAGATTAAAATTACGACTAAATTGGTCGGCACAGCGATCTTGTTCAATATCGCGTCACCGTGTTCCTAAAGAAGACTAACTTTTTGGACACGTAGTGGACATAACGACCGTTTCGGTATTTTTGTTGTTCTGATGCTTGTTCTTTGACACGTTTTTAAAAAGTCGCTTTTCTCTTCGATTACTGGACCAATATCTTTGAAATTTTCAGTGGTTGAGGATGGAATTTTTCTCCAAATGAATTTAGTATTTCGTCCAAAATTTTGCTGTATTATTATTATTGCTAGTAGGGGCCAGGGGCCACAAAGCCACAGCGCCAGGGGCCACAGAAACATTTTCAGATAGGCCACAACTCTATTAAAATTGTTAGACTTGATAAATAAATTAGTCAACTTTGATTTTATATATTAGAAATGAATGATATGCCACACATCAAGTCTCGTGCGAACAATCGTGACTTTTTTTTTATTTCAAGTCAGCTACGATTATCCATCACGTGATTACCACGGCGTTAGTTTTCATCGTTATCATCTGGCAGTCAGGCGCTCGTTTCAAAGGCAGAATTGCGTAGTTTTATTCCAATAGAATAGGACGATTTATTTTTTTGACGAGTGTTTAATAAAAGTTAGTTCAACATGAATGCTGTTATTGCTGATTTGCGATGTAAATCAACTCTGTATGTGTAATTCCGTGTCCTGCGGTACCGGTAGTGTGGGTAGACGGATGGTCGCGTATAAACTCTGAAACTAGGTACCGTACCGGTACCGTACTATACTACGGTACCGGTACTGAATTACGATATAGGCTATTTACTGAACTGTTCGCTGTTGCAGGCTGGGTACCAGTACGGTACGGTGTGTCTGTGCTTGAGTAACATGTCTGAATACAATAGTTTGAAGGATATTTATTACCACTTTTTGATTTTCCTGCATGAGAATGCTGGAATGAGGCATTTCAAATACCTGCAAACGACTACCGGTATCGCTTCATATGAGAGCAAAGCGGTAGACTGGTAGAGCAGACGTTTTATCAATATTCTAATATTGAAGTTCTTGCGCTGCATATAGCTGTATAGGCAAATCTTATCAAAAGAAGGGTCAAAAAGTAAATGTTCACTATCGGTACGGTACCGGTATAGGCTGGTACAGGCACTTTCGCTAGTGGACAAAAGTTTGATTCATCAAGAGGCCGAGGACAACCACTATCTGACCGGATTGGTCATGGAGAAGTTATTCATGGATGGGAAGAAGGAATCCTAAAGATGAGCATTGGACAAAAAGAGCAAAGCTGATTTGCAGGTCTGACTCAGCTTATGGTGAATCAGGTTATCCAGGGGTGATCCACCAAATTGCACTCTTCTGTGTGATTTGGAATTACTAAGCATTGGTTAACTGTTCAGATTTCAATGATTCATTTTTGCAACAAATTTTGACTTTAAATATTCTAAGTTGGTCCATGTATCCTCAAAATCATAATATTTGTTACATGACTAGACATTGCAGTCTAAAAATAGGAAATTCCAACATATATCGAATCGTATTCACTATCTTATTGTAGCATGCCTTTGTTTTCCAGTGATCAGTCATTTGAATCTCAAATCTATTTTCAAAAATCTGCCTTGGGATGGTGGATTTCATTTTCTAAAATATGGTAGACCAGAAAATTCTTAAGATAGGACTCTTTCAATTCTTGATAATTTCAACCTCAGTGTAAGCAGGGCTGGAGAGCTGGTTCGAAATCATATTGGCTCCATCTCACATTATATTCAAACTGTGTTCCCAGCTCAGGCGCTTCATTTTTCTATGTTCAGATGACTCTTTAACACTAAACAAGAATCCACTGAAAGGCACTGAATAGCTTTCCAGTTCGCCTAAGATTTTAACACAGTTTATTATAAACACCACACCATCACAGCACTATTTTTTTTTAGTTGGTCAACACCCAAAAGCACCTCTTCCAACAATTTTTATCAGTCATTTAATGTTCGAACAAAGTCTTCATTCAAGCGACCTGTTTATTCTAATCACAATTTTCCTTTACCATTTGCAGTGTTATTCCTACAATCACTTCATTTTCTTGTTACACATAAAATCGATGTTCTTCATCTGTATGACCCCTCTCTAAAATAAACTCATTGTTGTCACTGATATTCATAAATTTATTTATTTAAAGTTATTGCCCGATTCTGTATCGTGTATTTTTGTTTTATTGTGTAATTTGACTGTTTTTTTTTTTAACTTTTTAAGTTATGCCCGTCCTCTGTGTTTTGTGTTTATTCGTTTATTATTGTTTTTGTTTTGTTTTATACCAGAGCGGTCGAAATAAAATTGATTGATTGATTCAAAGAAAGTCGTACAAACCAAAACAGTCAAAACACATGCTTCTGTGCTTTGAGAATTTAGGAAACGCAAACTAACAAAACCAAAAACTTTCAAAATTTCAAAACAAGAGACTACTTTACTGCCTTCGTGGCAGGCAAAGAAAGTTTTTTGCGCGGCAGCAAGGGCTGCGCAAAATACAAAATATCACAAATTCTGCAATATCTTAATATTACTTTGCATTTACAGAATTTAATGCTGTTTAAATAAAAATGGATAATAGTGATGAAAAGTCAACAAACTCAAGGAAGAAAGACAAAGACTCGCTTTTGCATTTTAAAGTTTCGAGATTCATCATTGAGTCGTCAGCAAAGTTGAAACTGAATTCAGTAACTTTGGCAAGTGCTTGTGTTTTATATCACAGATTTTACCAAGAATGCGAAATAGAAGATTATGATCCCTACACGATCGCTGCAACTGCTATATTTCTTGCAACAAAAATAGAAGAACAACACACCCGACTTCGTGATGTTGTCAACGTTTGTCATCGAACTCTATTCCCGAGTAAACCCTTGTTAGAAATTGGACGGGAACTATATGATTTGAAAGACACAATTGCTAATTGTGAGCTATTGATATTACGAGTTTTAGAATTTAAAGTCACTTGCGATCACCCACATAAATATATCTTACATTATTTAATGTCACTCTCTCAATTTTTCAATAGAAGAGAATGGGAGAGACATACCGTTGCACAAACTGCTTGGGCAATACTTCAGGACTGTTATCATGGGACTATCTGCTTATCGCATAGGCCACAACTCGTTGCTATTAGTTGTATTTATTTAGCACTACTAACATGTAAAGTTGAAGTTCCGTTGAAACATTCATGTAAAACTCCATGGTGGAAAGTGTTTCATTCAACAGTTTCGAAACATGAAATATCGACTGTGATGGATGAAATAGTAGACTTGTATAATTTGGAAAAACAGTGTTGATGCTGGCAAATGTTGTTTGTACTATAGCATAGGTTCTTAAAGCTCTTAATACGTAGCCTCAGGGCTCCCTGAGAGAAACCTAGAGGCTCTGCGAGCTATTAGTTTACTTATTAAAATACTGACTTGGCTAATCTTGTAAGTGTCCAAAGATGCAATAATGTCATTAATGAAATTTGACAAGAGCAGTGTCAAACAAAATGTGACAACAACGCGGTATTTCAAATATGACATTACCTATTAAACGGTAATTTCCAATAGATAACTTTTATAAATTTTATGTGGACTCTGTTAATAATAGTCAACCTTTTCACAGGCTCCTACACCAAAAGTTTGAGAACCCCTGCATAGCATAGTGTGAGTCCTACTGTTATGATGTTGCCTACCCAAGCGACACCATGTTAAATTTTGACCCATGCCATAAATTGCTAATTAAAGTACAGAATTAAGTGATGTCTATTCTGTCTTATTAGGGATAGACAATGGAAGACCTACCACTATAGGAGAATAGACTCCATCTGCACTCATAGCTTGAGGTAGATCCAAGCCATACAGCTACAGGGAAAGCTTGGTTAGATTTTGATTGGCCAAATTTTGCTTTTACCTGACCCAACATTAATTCGGTATTTTAGTACTGAAATTACCTGAAAACTTTAAATGAATAGACAAAAAATTTGTATAAGTGGATTTCCAGATTTTGTGGATTCTTATTTTTTTTGAAAACAAACAGAAATTCAATTAAAATAAAGTACGAAAAACATTAATTTTGGACACATTCATTTCATTAAATCTATTGTTACATGCAGTCCTATATCTCTGAATGCCAATTTGATATTATGCTTACTGGCACTTTTGTTTTTGTATTAATTCCATCCAAAGCAATATGTCATAGGAATATTATTTGCTGATTTTGGAACTATTTTTAACTTATGTAGTATTATTAGACACAACTAAATCCATACTTGTGATATTTATGTAATTCAAAGAGCTATCTTTATTTATTTAGTGACTTATGCTGAGTGTCTTACTATCCTACCAAGATTGAACTGGTTATTCACTGTAACTCCCAGGCATGGGCCATCTCTGAATCCATTTAAATATGATGTTTATTATGTTGTTAAGCTTTCATTGCAATTTAGCTCAATGTTGCAAGCATTGCAAATATTTGTGTTAGTTTATTATTAATGTGATTAAATTCTGAGTTAGTTTAAGCATTTATAGGTTGTTGTGGCTATGGAAAGTCATGATTTATAATAATATTGTCATGTGGGGAATTTTTATTAGACACAATATATTGTTAGTATATTAGTCATTCATGCTTTGCTCCGAACAAGGCATTGTGCAAATATAAGGGGATACATTCGTTGGATAGTTGTACTTGGTATGTACAATGCTCAGCCACACAGCAATAACAATTGAAAATTTTGCCTGGATTTATAGTATTAACAATTGTGAGAGTAAATAAATTGAAGTGAGAATAAATTTTATTGTATGATAATTGATAAATGAGAACTACAAGCACAATGAGAATCATTAATAAACAAAGAAAAGGAATTTTCAACTGTTACCACTCAAGAATCGGGGAAATTTTTTTCCCTGTAGATAATGTTTCAAATTGCATTTATATATCTGTTCAGTGTCTTTAATAAGAGAATAATTTTGTTTATTTTCAGTCTAATTCTACCTAGTTTTACTCAATTGTTTGAAAAAACTTGGTAAAATGCCGAAGTGCGTGATAGCAAGTGTTTTAGTCGGAATTGCATTGGTACTGGGTGGTGTCGTTCTTCTTGTTGGTAAATACCCTGAAAAAATTATCGATTCGGAAATCAACAAACAATTAGCAATTTCGCTGAATTCACCAGAATTTGATGACTGGATGACCCCGCCCCCTCCTATCTACATGCAGTATTGGATGTTCAATGTAACGAATCCGGATGCCGTAATTGCAGGACAAAGAGCAAATTTGACACAAATTGGGCCGTTTACATATCGATTGTACCAGCCGAGATATAACGTCGCTCTATACACGAATAACACTGTCTCCTATCAGTACAATCACACCCTTGTGTTTGTCAAAAATATGTCATGTGCCGACCCCCATAATGTCACAATCACGAATCTAAACGTGCCATTACTCACTATTGCTGGAATGCTGAAGAACATGCATATACCTGCTTTTATTTCTAAAAAAATAATAGAAATATTCAAAGACAGCAAGGTATTTCCGCAACACACGGCCTATGAATTGCTCTTTGGTTACAATGATTCACTGTTAAGCTTCGCCCATATGTTTATTCCTTCATTTCCAGCAAAGTTTGGACTTTTTTACGGTTTCAATAACACAGACGATGGAGTATATCTTGTGAACAGTGGAAGGAAAGACATATCTCTCGTAAATAAAATGGAAAAGTGGAATTTCAAATCCGAATTAGATTATTGGTCCGATAAATATGGCAACATGTTAAACGGTACCGATGGTGTCTTTTTCCATCCTGACATGAAGATAACAGAAACGATCTATGCTTATTCAACAGATATTTGTCGTTCTTTACCGTTTAAATATGAAATGAACACAGATGTTCGAAGTATCTCAACATATCGTTATCATACAACTGCAATGGCATTTGCAAATTCCACCGTTAACCCCAACAATGGAGCATTCTGCGTTCCGGCTGGAAATTGCATGGGGTCTGGAGTCTTAAATATCAGCGTATGTAAGGATAATGCACCAGTCGTTATTTCCTCTCCTCATTTTTACTTGGGTGATCCTAAATATGTTAACGGAGTTATTGGACTTAAACCGAATAAGACTTATCATGAAACCTACTTGGATATTGAACCTACTACTGGCACTGTATTAAGAGCAAATAAAAGATTACAGGTATGCTGAATTATGCAATGATTAAGTATACTAACACTTGTTGTGCTGCAGTGCTAATAATTGCGACATTGTCTCTGTATTGACTGGTAAACACTGAACTTTGCCAGTGACGTCAATGATACTGGTTAATTAATTGCATTTAGCAAATAGCAGTTTTGATTACTGTTCTGGCATCCTGAAATGATTTGAGTCAGATACGATTGAAAGTAGTTATGATACTACCCAGGTTTCAAAATTTCCACAAATCACTACCCTATATTGATATACCCTATATTTCGCCTACTTTACATCAAGTTGTGTTCAGGGACTGAAACTTATGAGCAGGGTTTATATTCATTTGGCTAACACAGACAGTCCCCGAACTCGTAATAGAACTAAAATAAGGACAATCGGAATAAAATTTTGACTTAACCCTAACCTGTTACACACACCTTGGAGGTACCAAAAAATTTCTAATTTTGATCGCACGAGCCATCTGAAAAACAACTGTTTTCGACTTATAGCTCCATGGGCCCACAAGAGAGCAGAAGCCTTAGTTTGAGAATCACTACACCATTTCTCAAGACATTTTTTTTCTCTACAGCTCAACATCCAACTTGAAGCTTCAGAATACTCGGATGATCTAAAGAACGTTAGAACAACAACGTTTCCGTTTGTGTGGCTGAACGAGAGTGTCACAGTTGATGTGGATTCTGCAAATCATCTCAAACAAGTCCTTATGGTGAAGCAAGTCGTGTTATCCACCCCTTATATTCTGTTTGGCATCAGCGCTCTTATTTTTGTGATTATAATAATCGTAACAATTCACAAAAATAAAAAGAAAGGAACCCCACTTCTCACTAATGTTGATTATGATGAAGATGAGAATTAATTTAATTTGTTAATGTTTCTTTATTTACTCTAATTTGTATAATTATTTTCTGATTTTTCTCCATTTTGACCCTTACTTTAATAACTAGCTGTTTGCATATGGATAGTGTGTCATTAACGAAAAACAATTTTTCTTTGATTTTAAACATGTACATGTATTATACTCTTGAAACTGGCCCAGTTGTTCCGAATCTTTTCTATATATTCCTCTCTTCAAGCCTATTTTTGTGCTTTTTTGTTTCCGTTATTTGATCAATCTTTAAAGCAGTTCCCAAACTTTTATTGCAGGGTGGCCCCAGGTTCCGCGGGCCACAAAATTATTTTTGCATTGTTCGCGGGCCACAATAGTGCCAAGATTTTTGATTACTCTTCGAATGTGACGCGGGCCACAGATAATGAAGCGGCGGGCCACATGTGGCCCGCGGGCCTGGGTTTGGACCACCTTGTTTTATTGCTATATGATCTTCTCTTTGTCTATTTTATATCTCGATATTCCTCCCTCTCTACACATCGTTTGTTCGATATTTAAAGGATTCTCGCTATTGTTATGTGTAATCACACTCTAGATTTGGCACAGTTTGTATAGTTTATAAAATTATAACATGTCATTGCATATGTATTAGAATTCACAATAATTCTGACCAAACAATATTAGTAAATATACACGGAATGCAGCGTAATGTATCTGTATTTTCTCCTCAATTACGATATTACCAGAGGACGAATTCCCGGTTTAAAAATGCTGCTATATAGGTAATGGCCAATTTCTTGTTAACCAAGACATATTGGGTTTAATACTTCTTTGTGCGTTATGTTAAATATCAATCCCCACGCAGAATTTTGTTTCATAAAGAAGCTGTCCTGCCAGTACAAAATTTGTCAAAGCGAAGTTTTGAAGCCTTAATTTTTTTTTTTTCGGGGGGGGGGGGCATTCTGTTCTGCTGCTCTCCTTGCTACTGGGATATATCCAAAAAATTATATCATTTCTTTTCATGAACTGCTTTACATCGGCTCATTCATTAACCTACCTAATTTTCTGAAAAATAACATATGTTTATTAGTTAAATTTAACTGATTTTTTGACTGCTTCCTTCTGCATTGGTGCTGAAAAGAGAAATTTTCAGTCTGGCATTTGGCATCTCAGTAAAATTCTAATAAGAAATAAAAATTCTAACGGCATTGACCTCGCTGAAGAATGTGTTGTAGGTTATTTTTGCTTGGGAGTAATCATGATTTTTCCGGCGTATCAAACGGATTTGACTCACATGATGTGTCGGTGCCCTCAGGCATGCACTTGCAACGAAATCCAGACTGGCTAACACTACAGGCCATGTTTTGAAGACGTGTTCCATTATTAGCTCATGCTTGGTTGTGTCGATGTTTTCGTACCATGTTTTTTATTGGCAAGCCTGCAATAAATCTTTGCAACTCACTGTTTTTCTGTAATAGTAATGAAAAGCTGTTTGGTATGATTTTTTTGTTTTTGATTTGTTTTTTAGTTATTTAGCTTCATTGATTATTCCTCTTTCTGGGTTTTTTGTCCTATATATGCAATAAAGAAGTTTTCTTTTTCATTTGTTAAGAGCATAAGTTTTGGTATATCACTCAGCTACTTTTAAGTCGGACCATTTCTGATATAAACCCCATTGTTTTTTCTGATTCATTTCTTTTTTTTTGCTTTTGCAGTTTTTCATGATGTAGTTATTGAGAAAATTTACGACTTCATCGTATTATACTGTTTGTAGCTTGTATATTTAAAAAGTGAAAAATATATTTTATGTTCGTTGTTTCGCTGCGGACTGGCGAACTAAATAATATATAGGGTGTCCATTTACAATTTTGTTAGGAAGCCAGTTCTCAATATATCTCAACCAGGTTTGTTGTTTTTTAATCAGTATTTGTTTAAGTATTTTTACTTTATTTAAATTGGGCCAAAACAATATACGGTATAGATAAATTCCCTTCGCAATTTCTAAAAATTTTAAGATTTTATGAACAACCTATTTGTCTCAGAATTATATCAGTGTGAGCAATAGTTGTTATGTTGAGCAAATGTGTTACCAAATCTCTGAAAACCTAGCCAATCTACACAGATCACTGGGGATAAGTTTTAGGTCAAGGCCACAAAAAATTATCAGATAAACAAAATTTTCACTAATCCCTAATTTTGAATCTGGTTTACGATGTAGATTTGTCAAGAATAATTTATAGGTTTGAACTAGGGCTTGGCATTCCGAATCGAATATTCAAATTGAATAGTAAATTATTTGAATCGCTTAAGAGCAAAATGTCGAATCTATGCCATCTTGTTTTGTTTTTTTCCGCCATTGGTATTCGATACGTTTCTGCATTTACCAGGTATTTGAAAATGCCCAGACCTAGTTTGAACACATTGGACATTGTGCAATTTCCGTGACAGTTTAGACTAAAATGTTCCATTATATGCTTTTACTATGAAAATGGCTCGATCTGTATTTTATTGATTGATCAATTGTTTTTGTTGAAAATATGAAAAAAAATGGAAAGATTTTATTTTGTGAATTTGTTATGTAATCAAAGAAATCAGAATTTCATGCTGAACGTATATGATAAAACAAGACAGCAATGCCTAATTCCAGAGGCGCTAAGGTTGCACATTGGTACTGGCTAACTTTGGTACTGGCAATGTAAAGCCTGAGGGGTTGGTAGCATAGAAGTCATATTGGGGGTGTCAAAATAGGGCTGACGAAATGCGGTTGTTGCGTGTCAAATTGGGGGTGACGAAATAGGGTCGTCGAGTCAAGTTAGGGGTGACGAAATACGGTCGGTGCGTGTCAGATTATAGGTGGCGAATTAGGTCGGTGCGTGTCAGATAGGGGGTGACGAAATACGGTCGTTCCGTGGTGTCAGGTTAGCGGTGACGAAATACGGTCGCTGCGAAAAAACCTTAATGATTTGATTTCCGCGTGTCAGAATAGTAGCATCACGTTTTGAACTGGACCTATATAATACTAAACATAGCGTATATTCCGGTAATTTTATGAAAATTATATGTATCATAGTTGAAAATGGTTTTGTATTTGAACTTAATTTACCACAATTATAAGGGTGACGAAATGCGGTCGTTGTGTGTCAAAATGGGCGTGACGAAATAGGGTCGTCGAGTCAAGTTAGGGGTGGCGAAATACGGTCGGTGCGTGTAAGATTGGGGGTGATAAAATACGGTCGTTGCGTGGTGTCAGGCTAGGGGTGACGAAATACGGTCGGTAGTGGTGTCAGATTAGGGGTGGCGAAATACGGTCGAGGCGTGTCAGAATGTAGATGGTAAAATATGACAGAACGTGTCAAATTACCGTGAATCTGACAGTAGGGTGCCGGTACGCAATCAGTGACAGCGAGCTGGATGAAATCAAGGATCACTAAAATTTGAAAATGAAATTCGCCGAGTATTTATATGTTTATTGTAGCTATTGAGCCTCTGTTAATTACTATCAACCTAAATAAAGACGCGAGGGTATACCGGTATAGTGACGCCAGGAAATATAGAATTAAATAGAAATTATTTATTAAATCGGCGATGACAAACCTTGAAAAGGTATTAGAAGTTATGACTCATGAAATGGTGCATGCATCTGGTGTTTTATTGCATGAATGAGGAAACGATCACGGACCAAATTTTCGGAAAAGAGCACGCCGTATTACGGTCAACGCTCAAAGGAACAATCTTCTCTCGGAACTTCGCGCCCTAGATGTAACATTCAATGAAATTCAAAAAGTCAAAAACGGAGGCACAGTTCGGAGGCCAACGTTATGAAATACATCTGCATATTTATTATCTTGTTGTACAATGTTGCATGAAATACGTTTGCGTTCGTCGGGAGCTTTAAAACAAGATATGAAAAAAGAATAACAGAATATTTTACAGTTAGTTGGGTTTTTTTTAAGAAAATTTCCATGTCCTCAAATAGTGTCAAACAATTCTTTTCCTATTTCTAATATTTTATGTGACCTAATTATGCATAGAAATGACATGAAAAAACATGTTTTATTTCATCGTGCAAAGTGATTGTGATTTAATTTAAATTTGACGTACGACTGGGATCACTCTGCATAGAGAGACTAAAATTAACGAAATCTCTCTATGCAGAGGGATCGAGTCGTATGCCAAATTTAAATTAAATTAAAATCAGCTAATTAAATTTAAGTAAACATTGTAAATAATTCTTTAAAGTTTTTTCGATTATTAATTTGAATAAAATTTTTAATGTGAAGGTATGTTTGATATATTATTACGTTTTGCTCTTCAAGTCTTGAACATCTCGAAATAGTAACAGATTTCTCACATTCAAAGTACAGAGTTTATTTGTTTTGTCAAACAATAAACAATAACACGACAAAATGTAATTGTAAGCAACAAGTTCTCGGTATAGACTGTATAGCAACTGGTATCAATACGATCATGTGGACATCGAGATCAGTTACCAGTACCACTGAATATTTATAACGTGAAAAGCATAGCTTTAAATGTGATAAGACATGTAGGATTGTCCGATACCATCAATAACTTTCAATGGAATAATAATTTAGTTGGCAAGCGTTTGGGATGCTCTAAGCATTAACTAAATATACCTAGATATAAATTCAGACAAATTATTTGCTTGATCAATTATGATATTAACGAATTTGACATTTTTGATTAATGACTAAAATAATAAGAGAAGGTTTCCATGTGAGTGTATGGCATTGGTTTCTTTAAAATATGTAAATGGTGAATGACTCAAAGTAACGGTTATATAGGGGCATTGAAACGTCACTGCAATAGTCAAGTTATTCGAGTGTTAAAGTTCGGAGCAACAAAGCAGGTATAAAAATGCAATCATATCAAAATTGAGCTTAAATGTTTTCGTACGAATAAGGTCTACAAGCATCATGTAAAATATCAGGAAGAATACTCATGTTAGAATGTAATTTACACTGTTTTTTCATTCTTTTAGTTAAGAACCGAATTCTATGAGAATGTCTTTAACTTCGTGATAACTTGATGTCGGACTCAGACTGGAATCGAAGCTTGGATGATCTCGACTTGATTCGTGGTTTGATAATTACCAAACAGTGAACTGCGCGGTATGGGTGAGATATCATACTGATACTTGGTGAAATGCATGTCTGTGACGTGTGTGCATAGTGACACAAGGGGTAAATACTGCCAGAGAAATCCGAGGGGATGTCATTTTTCGCGTCCGGAAAGAATAATTTCAATAAAAAGTGACTAAGGATCAACAAAATATTAAATGATGTTTGGTTAAAGGACATATAGGGTGTCCATAAAGTCTTGAACTTTTTTTTAAATTGCAGAGGGAATATGCCATTTATAGATTTTGCCCTCACAGATGTATAAAATACCTAAACAATTACTGATTAAATAACAACAAACCTGGTTAAGATATATAAGAACTGACTTCATAACAACATTGAAATTGCAATGGACACCCTGTATTGTTTCAATAGTTTTGGGAAAAGCAAAAAATATTGTTGCGTTAAAGTGTCAGGTTTGTATTATGTGTACCTACTCAATTACAAGCATAAAGTGAAGTTCTGTAGAGTGTAGACCATGTCAACAGACGTCGCATAAGATCAATTCCGATTATAATTACCCAAAGGAATGATGCCCCGTAAACGTCACTGATGCCCTATTATGACTCCTAGAAAATGTTCAGTCGAGACTGGGCTTATAACGAAACACAAATAGACTAACAACAAATAAATAGTTGTCTTGATAAAGTTTCCATGGAATGTGGTTTAATCAGACAATCTTCTCAGTCACATCCCGAATAAATCGACGTTCTTTATTTTTAGTAGTAAACAACAATCATTGGTCACTGATTAGAGTGAGATAGAGATTACAGTATCTTTGTTTCTTTATTAAAAATGACAACTCTCTCCCCTTGTGTTTCTCTTTGATACTGCCTTTTTTTTTCTCTTTTGACCTCGAAAAAATATTTGGCGCGCGTGCCACATTTCTGTTCAGGGCGTGGTAGTGTAAGGTCGTTTCTGCGCTGGTCTGAGCCAGATATATTCACAGTTTAAGGCAGGGAAGGTCGAGATATAATTAAGGCGACTAATTATTCCCATTCTTCATGCATGTATAAGCTAGAACTTGAATTGTATAAATAATAATCTATTTCGATACAATTGGGTGGCGCATTTTTTTAGTCATATTCCGAATTTTGGGTGTTATATGATAAATATGGATTTCAGCATTGAGTTGTTGTTTCTTTTCTTATATACTTTTCAAGTGTATTTATTTACGTGTTTTGCAACGTTTTACTTTATGGACTTGAATTGTATAAATAATAATCTATTTCGATACAATTGGGTAGCGCATTTTTTCAGTCATATTCCGAATTTTGAGTGTTATATGATGAATATAGATTTCAGCATTGAGTTCTTGTTTCTTTTCTTATATACCTTTCGATTGTATTTTTTGCGTGTTTTGCAACGTTTTTCTTTATGGATCAAGTCAACTTGAATTGTTTAAATAATAATCTATTTCGATACAATTGGGTAGCGCATTTTTTCAGTCATATTCCGAATTTTGAGTGTTATATGATGGATATAGATTTCAACATTGAGTTCTTGTTTCTTTTCTTATATACCTTTCGAGTTTATTTATTTACGTGTTTTGCAACATTTTTTTTTATGGATCAAGTCTTGTCTTCTGATCATATTTTTTGTAAGTTGTAATCCGCGACAACGTGCTGTTTATAATTTTCCTACTTTGCACAAGAACTTTGTATCATCGCCAAAAAGTAAGCCATAACTATTTTCAAATTACAGGCTTAAAAGTGAAGAAAAATATACCGATATAATATGATATTGGCATGATTGATGGTGGAGTGACGACTGATTGATGTAGATAGAAAGGTAACTGATCTAAAGTAGTTTATCAGTTTTATCATAACTTGATTATAAAGTGAAGGCCTTTTAATTTTTAATCGAATTACAGGGCTTTGCGAAGAAGGAAGATATTGTTACTGCTGGTGGTCGAGTGGCGATTGGTCGATGTAAATAAAAAGGTGAGTATTTGTTCTAAAAATGTTACAAAATCCAAAGTTTTTATCACAACTTCATTATAGAGCAAAGGTTTTATAGTTTTTAACTTAATTACAGAGCTTTTCGAAGAAGGAAGATATTGTTACTGCTAGGGGACTAGTGGCGATCGGTCGATGTAGGCTAAATGGAAAGGTATGTTACAAAATCTAACCTTATCACAACTTGATTATAGAGCGAAGGTTTTAAAATATCCAATTTATTTACAGGTCTTTCTGACGCTATGAAGATATTGTCGATGTAAAGAGAAAGCTAGGTAGTTGGTCTAAAAATGTTACAAAATCTAAGGTTTTTATCACAACATTTTATAATTTCCAATTCAATTACAGGTAGAAGATATTGTTACTGCTGGTTACAGGGTGGCAATTGATCGATGTAAATGGACAGGTGGGTCTGCTTCATTTTTTATGAACAATATACTTTACTCAAAAGGAAAAGGCGTATACGTAAAACATAATTTCCTAAATTGTTGGTTCGTGTTGTTTGTACAGTGTAAACATTCGAATATTGAAAGCGCTTTTTTACAATAAAACTTTCATTTTCGCTTTTCCACGAGTTTTCCTCCTTTTATATGAACGATTGTGATCATAATTTGTTCTACATAAACACACGTATGATACCTAATAAGTTCTGATATTGCTGTTATGCTAATGTAGTTGTGTACATCTCTGTTAACTTTTTACATCACAATATTGTTGCGTATTACAATTGTAAAGGTTGGAGAATAATGCTATACTGCTATAATCTTTACGCTACTGACCTAAAACTTGCCTTTCGTCTTAAACCACAATATTCTTACACCAAATGCTTTTATATAGCAGGCATACGAATGCGAAATGAGATTTAGAAGAAACAAGAGAGCAATGCACAATATGGAGACTGAGTCGGAACGAAATATTTCACCCGTATATTCTCCAAAAATCATACCTTGGTCTCGAGATAGCTGTAGTTTGTAATTTTTTTTTTTCAATGCATCTATTCAACTGCGTAATGGGTCGTGCCGAACTGACATTAACTGCTAAAGCTGGGCATTTTTGACTACTTGCTAATTTCATCATTCAGTCAGTTCGCGCCGAGTTGTCACCGACAATGAGAATCATGTTTTATCAATAACTCAACTAGTCACTGGGAAGAAAATAGTCGTCTGTCCATCCCTAATAACAGCACACTACGTCAAATGGCCACAGATCCATCCCACTGCGTGTTGGGTCGTTCTAAACGGCGCTCCCGAAGTATGTGCACCAAGATGGCGCACAACTGATAACCCTAACCTGGTACACATATAATGTTCAGGTTGTGCGCTATCTTGGTGCACATACTTCGGGAGCACCTGCTAAGCAGGCATTAAATAATAAAGCCGGGAATACCTGATAACTCAATAATCGAATCTTGATTACTAGGAAGATATTTAAATTTCCTATTTAAACGTGATTGTATGCAAATTTTTATTTTAATGAGTCCTCAAGGCATATAAATTACCGAAAACATAGAATCCATCACTCAGTCGTCACTACAATAAGAATCGTGTTTCATCAATAACTCACTGGGAAGAAAACAGCCGTGTGTCCGTCCCTCATGACAGCGTACATAGTCAAATAGATACAGATATGTAAATAGCTGTTATTCTTGTGAAAAAATTTGCATTTTTAAATTTTAACTTATCATTCAGATAATGACGGGAACAGCGAATCAAGGCGATCTCTATTACAAATTTGGATAAAGTAAGTAATTGTTCCATTTCTTCTTATAAAGGCGTGAAATATATTACTTTATCGATATCTTTAATATTCAACTTTAGCTGCGGTTTAGAATTTTAGTATATTCGCCTAGCTATAATTTGTTTATCCTCAAATACTTTTCAAATTGGGTATAAGGGGCACTTTTATCGGCACCATTACATACCTTTAAGGCAGGGGTCGGCAACCTACGGCCCGCGGGACGGATCCTGTCTGCGGATTAATATAATTCGGCCCGCAAATGGGATTCGAATGGGTTTTTCCGAGGTGCAATGTCATGAGGAAATAAAATATATAGATGTATCACTGCTTGATTTTTATTATAAAAAGTATCATCCGTTCGGTTTTCATCTTTCTAAAAATATGTGCGTCTCGCCAATGACTTGCGACCCTTTGTCCCACGAGCGACAAAAGGTTGCCGACCACTGCTTTAAGGTTATAGAATCAATTTGCGGAGGTATTTCGAATGCTGTAAATTTTCGATGTTATCGAATCCCAAGTGATGCTTTTTAAATTCAATCCCAAGCATATGGGTGTTTTACTCGTGATTTTAATCGCAGATTATGGCATTGGGGGTAGCAATTTTAGTCCAGAAGTTATATTTTAATTAAAATCAGGGCGGTTTGTGAATTATTTCTTCCACCGCTGTTAAAGTAGTTTTATATATTTCAGGTTCGTACTGGGCGGAAGCAAAAGACGATTAATCTCACGTGAAGCAGACGTAAAATGGCAGTTTTATCTTGATATAGTGTTTTAGAATTGTACCAATCGTATTTTCCATTTTATTTTAATCGGTTCTGTATCCGGGTTTTGGAGGTCAGCGCTTGCTTAGACCCCCCCCCCTCCAAGTCGTGGGCCATTTTAGGTATTGATTGGTTTAGGGACACTGAGATTTCTTGATGTGTATATGTGAGGGCTGCCATCAATGCTACCATAGATATAAACGCGAGATTTATTCGAATCTTGAAAGTTAGTAAGGTTCCTGTACTTTCTCACAAATTTCGTCGTTCTGTGTCTGGAATCTTCAGTGTTTGTTGAAGTTTTATTCCTTTTTGTTATTTAATGGATATAAATAAATATGACAGATTAGAAAATATCTCCATGCTTGCTCTGAGGTTGGGATTGGTTTGTCAGGTTTCGGATAGTTGTTCGGGATAAACTAGAAATCATCAGTATGTACAAAAGGGGGTGTGCATCATGCGTATGACGTCACTAGGTTATGACGTCACCCTAGCGATCAGCGGTATTTTGGGGCAGGCCGGCGGTGGATCCGAGCCGAAACGACGCGATTTATTTTTATGTGCGGCCGATCATTGGCCGTAGATAATTCGAGTATAATTTACGAAATTTATCCACAATCATGCCTGATCATGCATGATCCGGATATAAATTTCAAAAATCTCCATTTTCCAAGGTCTGACCCTTCGATTTTCTCCATTTTCGTTTATTTAGGGATTTCTATCTTCTTATAGGTCGGAGCTTCCTTCATACTTTATATATCTGTGTAATCCAATTTATGACGACACGAAATTGATACGGGACAGTGACTTCGCGGGATTCAAACTTTGGTCACCATGAACAAACTAAAGGAATATCAACCGCCTTTACCAACTAGGCCAAGGAGGAACGTAAGACAAATGATCTAAGTTCTAATATTTATCAATTATCATAAATGACTTTATATTTTTTTTACAAGTCCTTTGAGATGATAGATAAATATTAGACCTTAGACATGCGTTTCTAAGTTCTTAATTGGCCTAGTTGGTAAAGGCGCTGGGTAGACCATAAATTTGTTCACGGTGACTAAAGTTTGAATCCCGCGAATGTAACTCCGCTTGCCAAATGTGTGTCGTCCCTGGAAGGCGGCGCAAAGATCTATATAACGAAGGAGAAACTCGAGCTGTGGCCTGCAGAAACCCTGAAATAAGAGAATATGAGGGAAATCGAAGGGTCACCCCTCAGAAAATAGAAAATTTCGAAATTTCATTTGGATCATGTATGATCAAGCATGGTCGTGCATAAATTTTAGCAATTATACTCGGTTTATCTATGGCCTGCGCTCGGCCAGAGATATAAAAAAATCGCGTAGTTTCGGCCCGGAACCGGCGCCAGGGCGCCCCATAAAATCGCGGCTAGCCAGTATGACGTCATGCCCTTGTGACAACCTAGTGTAAAATCCGCAGAAACCAGTCAAAATGACGTCTTGAGACACTTCTTCTTACATCTATGCTCCAACTCCCATTTCCTATTAGCCTTTAACAAAACCCAGTACCCGACAACCAATAAGCATGGAGAACGAATATCGCTTCAATAATTTTATTATTTTTCAAGCAAGAGAACAAACATAATTCTACATGGAAATGGAAATATTAATTAAAATGGAGATATTAATGGGAATGCAGGGACGGATTGTTCAAAAGCGAGCAACATCGAGATATCAAGCTTTTCTGCCATGATCAGACACGAAATGAAGAATTGTGAATTTCTGGGCGATACCTGGGCTCCGTGGCATACATATATAGCAAGAGGGCCATTGCCCCTAACACGGGCGCCATTTGGACGAGGGCGCACAATGGGCGAAACCTCATTTTGATAAAAACCACTTAAAAAACGTGAAAGTATCACAAAGCAACAAACCGTAGGTAAAAATTTCAGTAAACGATCGATAAAGAGGGCTCATTTTGAACATTCCCGTAGGCGCCATTTCACGCAGATACGCCACTACTGGGGCAAGCTTTGATATCCGGCAAACTCGGGTAGAAAAATGGTTATATAAAAAATTAAAATACACTGTTTATATAATCAAGATGGTACGACAATTCCTTCCAATGTTCTTAAACGTACGTGTCCAGTTGTCGACTGTCCTTTGATCTTTCCAACCAGAACGCAGCTGAAATATTAAAACAGATATAACATAGGGCGATTATGAATTACATTTCACACCATCGATGAAAAATAGATCCTAAAAATTTAAACATAGACTTGCACAACTCAGACTCAAAAATTCATAAGATTCGAAACCAAGCTTTCAACTCGATACATCACGATAGGGATGCTCAAATATATGGACACGAAAACCAAAACGAAGCGGTAAGAGTATGCAATCGGTCACAGTAGACTACGCCACAGGGTGCGCAAGTTTTAATTTTGATTGTTTTAGTTAATAGTGAAAGACGATTATTTCATCACAGAAACAAGAAAAAGATTCCCAATAATAACAATACCATAAAAACTAAACGATGTACCTAATGCCGCAAATAGCAACAGTAACTATAGTTATTTCCGTGGTGCATTGAGGAAAAAGCAGCGATGAATGAGGCAAAGAAGTGCGTTTTCGCAACTGGAATATTAGCTCACCAGTATTACCAAAACTCTAAACCAGGGGTCGGCAACCTACGGCCCGCGGAGCAATATAATCCGGCCCGCGACGCTTCACTGAATTATAGTAACAAAACAGCCCTTTTGACAATTATATCCTTTACGTAACAGAATTTATTTTGGGACACGTGTAGACTAAATTATATTATCACCTAATAACAAGTATACAATTCCCAATTACTCGTTGAATGAGCCTATGTTTTAATTATAATTGGACAAATGGCAACAAAACGCAGAAAGTTGATGCTAAGTGCAATTGGTTTGATGGCGTAGAAAATATTCAAATGATCCGTTCTCGGGCGCTGCCAAAAATTAAACTTCTGATATGTGTGAAAAAATGGGATTCATCGGCCATCCGTTCGGTTTTTATCTTTCTAAAAATATGTGCGGTCCGCCAATGACATGCAACCTTTATTTTGGCCCGCTAGATATCGGTCTTCAATAGGAATAGTTGCTGATCGTAGTGCAGTGGCGATCGCGCACAAGGGCGGCGTAGACAATTTTTTAGATTGCGTTCAGCTAATTAAAAATATAATATTTGTTAGTTTGATCTTGCCCGCCTTATTTTGGATATTCACTTTCCTTTTGCGTATTTTAACATGTATTTTCGAATGAAGCATACTTTCGTTTAACTATCCGTTATTTGTAGATTGTTAGCAAGTTATTTTTGAGGTGGGGCGCGAAACTTTAGGGTCTCCTGTACTTTCTTACCTGAATAACTTCTAGTGGGCGTGGCGTAACAATTTTTGGATATATGATTCCCGACCCCTACCTGATGACGTCATCCAAAAATTACGTCACTGCGACGTCACAATAACAAAATACAGCTTGCCAAAGTATAGCGACGGTCCTCCGTAATGGCGCCTACGAGTATGTCAACAAACTCAATACGTCAGCGACAAATTCTAAAAAGGGGCGCGGCTTAAAATGTTTGAGAACCACTGCTATAGAGTTTGGTTTGAAGAATATTATATGCTTGGGTAACGAGTAACTACTGATTTGCAATTCAATTTCTTCAATCCATCTTGTGGATTAGTCATGAAATAAAAACTGGGGTTTTCATTCTATAAGATAAAATTAGCCCCTCTGGGTGAACAGGGTAAATTAGCAATCGAGGAATTTTAACGTCGAAAATTTGATTCAACTCACCAAGAAAAGCAAAACGAGTAGCGAGAGGAAGCAGCGCTGGCAAAGAACTTATTTTGACATTCGTATGTATTTGAGTTTTATACGCGCTATCATCAAGTATTTATTTGGTGGTAAAATCTGTCACCGCGGGCTTTTCCGAGCTTTAGGATTTGTGTAATAAGAGTTAATATGCTCTCACAACAGAGGTAGACTGTTTGTTGGCTACAAACTAGCCAAGAGCTTTAATGTAAACATTGCACATTTCTACATTTAATACAATCTGCACCTTAAAGTTCTTGTAGCAAGTTTACAAAATTGGAAAAAAATAGGACTAAAAAAGAAAATAAAGTAACCAAATTTCGTCACAAGACTCGCAAACGATATACTCAAAATGAAGAACGCATTTGACAAAGAACGTGCTGGTAACTGATCAACACTATAAATATTCTTCAATATTTTATTGTTTTCGATAAGGAGACTTCTATGTGGATAGTACTTACTTTAAAATTTACTTATTTAGCGTTAAGCTACTACTTAAACCTTGAAAGCTAAAAAGCGAGTTGTGCGCAACTGTCTGACAAACCTGAAGAAAACTGAAACCAGAGTTGTTTACGCATAACAAGGAGAAATAGGCAAAGGGAGGTAGCAATTGATGATTGTGGACCACAGCTGAAGCACGCGCGCGTCTCCAGTAGGATTTCAACATGACGACAAGTAATGAGAATCTTTAAATACTCCGGTATTGGTTTGAATCAGGTGGGGTTAAATCATGTGGAAGAGGATCGTTGGACTCCTGGTTTCTCTCTTGGACTCCTGGAGGTGATTCACGTACAACTGTTCCGTAATACCTCCGCCATTAAGCTCATGCATCCAAGACTAAGCCCGATAGGCGATATGGACCGATCACCGGACGAGTAGCCGTGGTGTTCACGTAATCAAGCCGTCTGACGGATTTCCTCTCCACTGTGATAAATATGGAAAGACAAATATATCTACATTTACTTCAACAAACTCTCGATTCGTGAGATTCGCTTTCACCTTATTCGCTTATCCTCGTTTTCAGGGCATAAACTGCATGATAAAATACAAGTTAAAACTATGGAATCCCAAATATTCCAGCCCAATTAAAAACGCCTTTATGATTTCAGCAAAAGCGAAATGACCTCCGCCAATGTTATTTTGCATTCATTTTTGTTTCACATTACACATAGATGCCTATACCGGTACAGATAGAATGTTTCGGCTTGGAATAAATGATAGCAATTAATTTCAGTGTTAATTGAATTCAATTTATGAAACACGGCCACTTGCAACGAGTAAGAGTAATTTTAGAGCAGTGTTCCAACCTTCATCGTTAAAACTTCTCTTCGCCTATTTTGGAACTTTTATTTTTTGACTTGGTGGATCATGCGCACTCACACTTTTGTACAATTTAAGTGTGTTATAATTATCCATTATAGTAATATTAATAATAAAGAAATGCAGAATAGTAATAATAATAAAGAAATGCAGAGTCTATGATTAAAAAGTTAACCTACCTTGATTATGTTGAGACACGCCGGAGAAGCCACACGCCGGAGAAGCCGTACCTTGCTCCACATGTTTTCCACTTACATTGGATACTTTCAAGCACTGATTGACAATTTCTGAAGCAAAATAAAACCACTGTAGAAAACACTGTACGTTGAAAATTTTTGAAGGTAATTCCGATTTTCTTTAATTGAATTGTTTAATCCATACTTGTTTTTGTCTCAGACGCAGCGGAAATACTACATAAATTTCATAAACAGTTTTCAGCTTTCATTAAATACATTAAGGACTAATAGCACAATACGATTTCGGTAACACAAACATCGGATTCTGATTATGCCCGTCAAGTATTATTAAAAAAAATGAATTTTGAAGTTTGTTTTAAAAATAAATCATGATTCGAATTGTAAAAAAATATAATTACTTACATACTTTTTTATATTTGAGACGAATCGGAAAGTCACTCCTCTTGCTTCCCAAATGAAAACGTTTCCTTTTTCGTTTGAAGAAATTTAATCACATATTTAAAATTTCTGAAATATAAACAAAAAGAAGATACTAACAAGAAAATGAACATGAACAAAAAACAACATAATAGCATAACGACATGTACAGTTCGCGTCCAATAGTATTGAAACCAATAACAAGTAATTACCCCTTCTCTATCAGTCGTTGAATGTGTTGATAAAAACTCACTTGTAGCTACCATGTCCAGCTATGCCGAAGATTCGTCTCCTATCCACTTTTGTCTGCACGTGCAAAAGAAAATTGGAAGGGTAGTCCAGTAGTGGAAAACTACGCAATTTTAATTGCTACACGAGACAAAAAATAGGACCTGGCATACTTCTTCTTCTTACAAAGGGTGAAATACTTATTGCGTAAGACAGATTTTTATCTTACTTATTGCCTTCATTAACAAAAACACTCGCAATGGTTGACGGAAATCTTACAAGGGTATTGGTTTTACAAAATACGAAAGTTACAAAGAATGAAACGACTTTAACCCAGACTGCAGATGCGCCGTCATCAATATCAATTTAATACTTCATACCTAACTGGATAAATGTTCATTCAACCGCATTTCCTCCAGCAGATCCCGATGCCAACAATTCCAGAATTTGTGATCCAATTCCACCCCAGAATCATAATTTTAGGCCTAATATTACTCTAACAGCATTAGTAAACATAACTGTAAAAACATATAAATTGCCTGCAAAGAAACGAGAAAGCTGTAAATGAAGCCAAATCATTTATTAATTGCCGAATAATACGACGAATAATTGAAAGACTATTCAAAATTGGAAGACTATTCAAAATGTAAATCTGAATGCACAATGCAATAAATATACGTTTCTCAGCGCAAGAGCCCAGTAGTATAAAACCTCCATATGTAATCGGATTCATGTTAAGAGTAATATAAGAAGCCAATACAATGACACTGACGGAATCTTTAACACTTGGTTTGACCAAGATCGTATACTATATTGCCATACGGTTGTGCACTTATAAATGTAAATAAATTAACAGTTACCTTATTAATCCTTGATCGCCTCTCTTCAACTAAACTTCCGAGTCTTCGAGTCAGGAATTTGGCAACAATCATCGCTTTAATACTATATTATGACCTAACTGTAATATTATTTAGTTTATCTTTAGCTATTAGTCCATGTATCTTTCGTTTTCATTCCACCTCGACAGTCTCACTTGGTAGACAATTGAATTGTAACAAATTTTCAATTGTTACTTTTCAAAAATTATCGAATATGCAGAATTAATTTTTGATTGTATACTTTAACCTTCCAAGGAACACAGGTATTTTTCCACCTGCATAAAACAATGATATCATGTTCTTAAAACAATGAGATCATCGATATTCCCACGAAATCTATGCTATTCCAATTTATTTTGCTATATATTTACAATACATTTGACATTAATAACTGCGCCGATGCTATAAATCGGAAATAATATTAATATTGCTCAACCAAAATTTCTCCTATCAAAAACGAAACGAACTAGTTTCTGATTGGTTAAAAATAAACCTTCTTTCCGAAAAAGTAATGAATAAAGATAGAAAATTTATCCACGAAACGGGAAAATTCCAAAAGCCTTTAAATAACCCAACTTATCACCCAAAATAGCACAGACAGAAAAGAGAAAAAAGGGAGGAAAGGTAGGAAATATAGGGGGCAACCCGCAACTAACCCATTCAAGGATTCCCAATAGAACACGTATACCTTCTGATTAATATATATATTGCTTTATATCGGAATACAGATTATAGAAGTCTGATATATAACTAAAGTCGTAAGTAGTCGACGGGACTATCGGATAAGTATGCAGATAAAAGACCATTCATAGCAGCAACACAACTTTCTACGTTACAGAATCAACAATTGTAGCTTAAACATAGGTTTAACTGCATTAATATAACGGAAAGATATGGAAGAAGAGAACGCTACTTGTGCCCACGTAAATTCTTGACATGACAAAAAAGATTTGGATATAAACAAAAAAGTGACCGTTGAAATAATTTGAAAAAATGTTGAGTAAATAATATCATCTGTACTACATCCGGAACATTCCAACACAACCGCATCTCTGTTAAGTTTTTAATTCATCAATGATGTAGATCTTATTTATGAAATGGTCCAAACATCATTGCACAGGCATATCTTACCAGGGGTCTTTGATTCAACACCAAGTATACTCTCAATTCAATCTAGTGTTATATTATGGCCCAACTGCAATCCATAATTTAATGAATATTTGTTTAACCGTAGTTTTTGTTCCGCTCAAGCAGTTTCCGATGTCAACATTCGCAGCTTGGGTAGGTTCAGTCAGTTTGCATAAACACGATCTGAAATATGTAACATGGCTAAGATGCACTACATTGGTTGAATAAAAGCTAACACAAACTAAAAGCAGGAATAGGGCAATTCGTATATATGGAATATATCCAAAGCGTAAATTTGAATACGGTTTTAGGTTTCTTACTTGTTCTAACTTGAACAGTTCGTTGTTCTCGTTCGCCTCCTTTTCTTTACGCCGTCGTCTTTGATTCAATATTTACACACTAAGAATCATTTAGTATTACGCTATGGGCTAACTAACTGAAAGAATGAAATTATCTCTAATAATCATTGCCGATTTAGATTACCTCACCAATTTCAGATCTTGTAATCTCAATTCCACTTTGTAGACATTTGAATCAATGATTGTAGGCCAATGCTTAGTTTAACTGCATGAGTACAGCTATGAAAAATGGCTAAAGATACAAGCGTTGGATTATGAAAAAATTAGCGACACAAGGATGCACATAAACCATTAAATCTAAAAATTCACAAACATGAAACCAATGCTCACCTAACGGCGTCAACTTTGAAAAGACCGCCTGAGCGCAGACAAATTTTGACGTGGCAAGAAAAAAGTTTGATTATAATAAAGAAACAAAGAGGGTGGAGGAGACCGCAAAATGAAGATGCTTTTTCATTTGTTATTAGGAATCACATGTCTAGGTGACGTAAGAAAATAGCAAAACAACAAAAAAATGATGGAACATGCTGTTTGTCGCATTAACCTTTTACCACTACAGCCATATAATAATCTAGATACATTTCATTCTAGACAATATTTAATATGCTACATTATTGAGAAAAAAAATAATTGACAGAAAGATATTCTACCGACATTATGGTGTGGACAGCACGAAAAATCACGCTGACCAAACATACAACGATAATAACAAAATCAGACGATTTTTTTTCATATGGTGCTTATTCAATACTTGTCGCTTCGAACAAGACCCTATGCAAGCATCCACAGATACTCCACGATATGCTATGAGATACTTACAAAACGTTCAAAACGTACTGCTACTATTCTAACATGCCGAAATCAAATATTTAAGGTTTCTTCACAGCGACCGTATTTCGTCACCCCTAACCTGACACCACGCAACGACCGTATTTTGTCACCCCGAATCTGACTTGCAACGCCCGTATTTTGTCACCCCCAATCTTACACGCACCGACCGTATTTCGCCACCCCTAACTTGACTCGACGACTCATTTCGTCATTCCCATTTTGACACACAACGACCGCATTTCGTCACCCCTATATTTGCTTTAAATGTATTAGACGTCCAATATCGCTGTATTAAAAAATAAAAAGATAATTGTGCTAAATTAAGTTTAAATACTGAACTACCCTTGACTATGATACATTTATATTTTTCATAAAATTACCGGAATATACGCTATGTTTGGTATTATATATGTCCGGTTCAAAACGTGCTGCTACTATTCTGACATGCCGAAATCAAATCTTCGGTTTCTTCGCAGCGACCGTATTTCGTCACCCCCAACCTGACACCACGGAACGACCGTATTTCGTCACCCCCAATCTGACACCACGGAACGACCGTATTTCGTCACCCCTAATCTGACACGCATCGACCGTATACCGTCACCCATAATCTGACACGCACCGACCGTATTTCGTCACCCCTTCCTTGACTCGACGACCCTATTTCGTCACCCCCAATTTGATACGCAACGACCGCATTTCGTCAGCCCTATTTTGACACTCCCAATATGACTTTTGTGCTACCACCCCTGTAGCTTATTTCCAGCAGCCTGGCTGAACAGTGGGCGCTCCAGAAAAGTGTGTACCAATATGAATGTAACTAATTCGTCTACTTTACATCAAGTTGTGTAAACATGTGGGTTATTCACTTGGCTAACACAGACAGACCCCGAACTCGTAATAGAACTAAAATAGGGAAAATCGGAATAAAATTATGGCTTAACCTTTATTATTGCATTGGATTTATTGTTGCAGTAACCAACCTTGTGAATGTTTGCCTTTCACATTCAATAGATAAGGTTTTGTATGAAAGGTTTGCTAGCTTCAGGTGCACAATGCTTATAATATGTCCCATGTGTGAAAGTGCTCTGTAAAATTGGTATTTATCATGGCCAAGTATGAATGTGTATATTATGAATCATTTTGTCAGTCTGACATAGCCCCAGATTATTTACTTTTGATATTCCTAATTATTGCATGAAACATACCGTAAGTTTATTTCGACTCCATAATCAGAATAATGGACGATAAAATAATTGATACAAAGTAAATAAAACTGATTAGAGATAAAAATCTCCTCATAGTATAGAATGGGTAAGAATAAGAAGGTCTAAAACATACAGATTTCGGACTATGTTACGTTTACATATTTGACTACTGTGCAACTTAACATTGAATAAAGATAATTTTATCACAGTACTGAATAACAGTTCCCACTAAATGGACAAGATCCGTTCTGATCCGTTACCAAGTCCCCAAACCATTAATAAACTAGTCCTGGCTGTTCTAAACATTGCGTACAAAGCTCATTTTGTGTCTCCAATCAAGTCTCCACAATTATATATTTTTGCTTCCATTCTAGCCATAATCAAATTATTTCCAAACCATAAACACTACTATGATATACCCACTGTAATACTCTGTACAAAAACAAATAATTGATTGATTGATTTTTATTGGCATTACAGAAATGGCAAGAGATATTCAGGGATTCGCCACTCAAAATAGCAATCGGACATTTAGTTTATGAAAGCAGCAGACACATTAGGTGTTCTATAAAATTATGAAAAAATGCAGTAACAATTGATTTATTGAATTTCATTGGAAGGGACGGACTTGATTGTATGATAAGCGAAGTGATTATCCAAAATTCTGCATAGTACACAAATAGATCACTATTCAGTTGCTGGGTTATTTCTTGGATATAAAAAATTAAATAATTGGATATGATAATCTTGCGGTCAACATACAAATTTCAACCACATAATTTGATGAACAGTGAGAAGCGAACTTAAGATAATAGTTAGAAGCGAACGAAAGATGTATGATTTAGCAAGTCATTCAGACAAAGGAAAAAACAGTTGTAATTCAGGACAATGGTTTCAAATTTCAAAATAAATTGAAATTAATGTGAAGAATCAAATTTTGAACTTGTAAACAGTTTTGTAAAAATGATTTTTTTACTAATTCAGAGCAAGAGTCTACTATTCTCAGACTTTACAACCCTGGATCTCTAACCATCTAATTATGGAGAAAACGCAGCTTAGGACCATAAGCTTAGTGCTAAGTTAAGGTTTCTGAGATGAAACCTTGGGTCAATAACCACCTAATTGTGGAAAGAGGAAACAATAAAGGCATTAATTTTCGAGTCCGTTCATTACTTCTAACTAGGCAACAAAATCCATGTCAAAAATTTATATTCAATAGATGAAGGGTCACAAATGCAATATGAACAAGGTCCGGACTTGGCTCAGGGACATCGCACTATTCCACCAGGTATATCCATGTAAAAAAAAATATATAGCACAAATAGTCTTAGTAAATTGATGTAATTTGTCACACAATATCAGTATGGGCGTTTCCAAATGTAGGGTGTGTTAGATATTTTGTTAATAGTGATAAAATTATTTGTAACTTATAAAAATGTGTTACGTATTCGACTGATCATCTTCACCGGCCACTTTCTGAATATTCGAATACAATTTTCATTTACGTGAGAAATAAAGTATGGTGGCACACCTGAAAATTAGGGTGGTGTTTGGAATTTTAGGAGGAGGGGGGTCTACAATATTACAAAATACATATTTCTGCTATGTGCGCTTATCTAACCTGAATTGGTAAGAGAATGCCACCAAGTTTTATATAATATAGTGATTAATGTTCCAGGCAAATGTCGCAGAAAGGTCATGGAAAACTGAAAAAAACTATGAAATATTTATCCGATTTTATAACACTCTATATCTTGGTCATTATGGCAGATACACACTGAATATGCGCAAATCTGCCAGTGATTCTTTCTCCAAGCATGGACCAATCTTCAGGTATTTCTTCATATCCGGTACCAGACTTGTTTCCGATGAAATAGGTGGAGGTCTGTGAATTCTGACTGGCTGGAAGATACACACCAGGACTTTCTAGAGTGAATGTGATGAAGTAGTCGCCTCTAGCAGGTTGGAATCTGAAAAACAAACAAAAAGTTTTATAAATTAATTTCATTTTTGTGGTTTCCAACTTTCTTATCGAAAATTATTAATTACTATGAAATGTGAAATCTCACGAAATATTTATAATTTATCTTGGGGCAATTCACATACATTTAAAAAAAATTGAGCTAAAAACTAATATTTAAACAAAATCAAAGCCAATAAAAATCAAAATGACATTAAAGTTATTGAAGAAAGATACTAACTGGAGGTTGACCAGATCCGAAATGAGTCCTTCTTGTGGAACTGAGAATGCTTCTTGACCTTTATACGTGACCTTTGCACTCTGACCTTGGACCACATTCAAAGTATTGCCATCTCGAAGTGCCAGAGTAATATCTCGGATCAGGTACGCCCCACCTCCACCACCGCGGCCATGGAAACGGATCAACAGATTTCCACTGGCTGGCCAGCATACATCATTGTCGATCATGACTCTGAAGGTTCCAACCAAATCACTTTGCCTGTATAAAAAAAATATATAGGGTGTCCATAAAGTCACAGATGTATTAAATGAAGTAAAAATAAAAAACAACAAACCTGGTTGAGATATATTGGGAACTGACTTCATAACTAAATTGAAATTGTAAAGGGACTTTATCGGAACTCTGTATACAATTCGATATAAAATAGTAGAAATATCTGTACTCCTGTAGTATGTGTACAAGGTTAGGGTTAGGCAATAATTTTATTCTGATTTTCCTTATTTTAGTTCTATTATGAGTTCGGGGACTGTCTGTGTTAGCCAAGTGAATATCTCCCTGCCCAAAGGTTTCAGTCCCTTTACAACTTGATGTAAAGTAGGCTAACGAAATTAGTTACCTCTATATTAGTACACATACTTCTGGAGCGCCCAATATCACTGGATTATAGAGAGGGAGGTAATAAGACAGCTTAAACATTATTTGAATTTTGGCAACTTCCTTGAATTTTTATCCTATGTGTTCGTTGTGTATTTTCATTTTGTGCACCATGGCATAGTTCAAAAGAAATTCTCTTATCTCACCACACAGCAAATCATGGCATCTCGTCTTATTACCAGTCCATGTCAGGTGTGATGATATTTAACCGGTTATTCATTTCAGATGCATGGATTAAATGAATTCAAATCACTACTTGAAACTGCAGTATGGTTCACCTAACCACCGATCTTTCACAACTTACGCCATCATCAAAGTCCCTTATTTGGGCCAACTAACTGGTTACCTTAGTTGGACTGGTAGAAAGAGGCCATGCTTTGTCATGTCTTGTCTAAAGCTTGATGTCAACTTTTCCCTCTTCAGGGATAATCAAAAATAATTCAACTTTAATTCGTCGATGTGGCGCATCGCGCCAAGCATTGGGAATACACTCGCCACCGCACCTCTGATTACCCTGCGTGAGTTTGCAGGTTCGAATCCCATGCAGGGACAGTTATGTGCGAGAGGATAGCTGGACTCCTCGCCACCGTAGGATGGTTCATGTAACCGCTGGTGGTTACAGCCTCCTCCACCATCAAGTCCATGCTTCGAAAACAAATAACTGACAAACTAATCCAATACCCAATATGGACTGGTAACCAGACGAGAGGCCGTGGTTCGCGATATGATTACCGGTAAGTCGTACGGCTTGCCTCTCCCTCAGGATAAATATGTAAATTCTATGTCTGGAGCCTGCTATCGACTTTCCTCTTTCCAGGGATAATCAAAAAAGAATCCTACTCTTACAAACTTACACAAATTCAGAGACTCCTTTTGGAGGTTCTTTCCTCAGTGTTCCATCGTTAATACCGAGCTGAAGATGTGGCCACCATATGTCACCAGCAGAAACAGGAGGGGGTTCGCTAACGTTATTTTCAATCATGAAAGTCTTGTAGGCTGCATTGCTGACACTGTCAAATACTTCAGGAATTGGAAGCTGAAATAGAAAATTGATTTTAACAACTACTGTAGGTTGAGGCATCTAATTAGGTGGCTTTTAGCAGTCATGTCCCCCTGTTTATTATCCTAGTGATATTTATAGTTCTATTTTGATAGGTACATTCTAAATCTCGTTATGTTCAAACAATTCATGCACAAAAAAAAACAAAAACGCCCTGTGAAATAACCTTATCAAGCAATGAACTAGGAAGAACGGAGAGTCTTTTTAAAGGGAAAAGTAAAATCAGTTTTGCGACTTGCATTGTGGCCCCCTCCACTCCTCTGTGGCCCCATTTGGGGGGCCAAGGGTCCTTTATTGGGAACTGCTGCCATATTGGTTGTTGTAGAATTTCGTTTCTTTCAAGAACGTACCGAGGAGGCCATTGGGTCATGCCCTTAAGAATGTCGTCTCCGCATTTCTGGGAATTTAATATGATATCACAATGGATATTTAACTATAATAAATTACTAATTATAACATGACCTTTACAATTTTTGAGTGCTCCATCTCAAAGAAATCCACCGATTTCACATCACTGATATCTTAGAAATAACACTATTTTTAATATCAAAGAATATCTTTACATCCAGTGTTCGCTCTAAAAAATTTTTATATGGAGCAAATGTTTGTTTTAGTGAGTAAGAATATTTTAAGGCTGAGTTAACAGAGTCCTAAACTTTGTGAAATATTATGGCATTGGAGGCTCGGTTAAAAATAGACGTTCCAAATGTTTCCATCGAAATCAAGATATTTGTACTTAGCAGGAAAGCGTGTGACATCACAATGAACAGTGGCAACCCAAATACATGTGAAAGAATCCATCATGTGAAAGAAACATGGATTGAGTAGTCTTGAAGGGCGCGAGAAAATATGACAAGCGACGCTTTGAAAACGTAATGTTGCAAGCGCTTGAGGTTGAGTTTTCAGTGCGCAAATGGTTTGGTGTTAGTGCACAATGGAGCGGTTGTGCACCTTAGAGAAAACCTTGCTTACATCAATGGTTACTTGTCTACATTCTTAAAAGACAACTCACCTTTTCACCTTTATAAGTGATAGGAGTACTGAAAGGATACCCCATAATTCTTTTGTCAGGATATTCTTCTCCTCTTGCGCCACAGTAACTCATACTTCCGCAGGTTGTTCGAACCCCAATGCTATCAATATCATTGTCAGTTGCAATCACACACAGAACATAGTCTTCACCGGTCTAGATAAATTGATAAGTCATTAAAATTTGATTTATTACTCATAACTTCAAACCACATCAATCTTTATTTCTGAGTCAATGTATGTGCTCTTGCTTTGAGCAAGTTCGGCGTTTCAGAAGTGTGTGTACCAATATGGAGGTAACTAATTTTGTTCGCCCACTTTACATCAAGTTGTGTAAAGGGAACGAAACCTATGAGCAGGGGTTATTTCACTTGGCTAACACAGACAGTCCCTGAACTCGTAATAGAACTAAAATAAAGAAAATCTGAATAAAATTATCGCCTAACCCTAACCTGGTACACACCCTACAAGAGTACCCTTTCGGTTACCGGTCCAGGTCAGGTATGAAGTCGCAAACTAGTTTGGTAATTGTTCCAGTGAAAATTTTTTACTGGTGTTCTGGGATATATTGTTGGAAATTACTTTGGCAAAATTTCATGCTATTTAAATATTATATTTTACCTTCTTTCCTCTGGGTAGGAGCATAGTATAAGGCCATCCACATTCACAAAAGCCACCAGCATCTTCCACAAACGGACGTTCAAAATCATCTTTCATATTTTGTGGTAGTCTCTTGATAACTGATGAATGAACATCTTCTCTGGTGAATGCCATGTAGTCTTGGCCGGCTTCCAAACTAAAGTTGAGATGAATACAGTTTGCTGGGTTAGCATATAATAGATTAACCCAGAAAACTAAAGATTATAACCAATTTTGACACTGAATGTTTCACATATAACATTCATAAATTGAACAACATTGCCGCATCAAAAAAACTCCCAAGATCTATCGGCGTTCAAGAAGTGTGTGTACCAATATGGAGGTAACTAATTTTGTTCGCCTACTTTACATCAAGTTGTGTAAAGAGACTATATCCTGTGGGCAAGGTGTATATTCATTTGGCTAGTTAGTTATATTTTTTTGCAAGCATGGACTTGATGTTATATTTGTTCATTGCAACATGCATACATTATATATCAAAAATTTTAAAGTAAGAAAAAATTCTATTTTGAAAAACTAATTTTCACCTGCACACAAATTTGTCCATTTCAATCCATCTTCTCCTTTCTGTTTGCCTCTTCTTCGGGCAGATGAAGATCCGAATTGTCAGGTTGATATCTCCATCTGAATAGTGAAGTATATTATTAAACATGAATTACAGCAGGAACTAATATAGTTTTAAACAATACTAAGGTAATTTGAATGCGCATTAAGCTATATAAATTAATATCCAAGCAGTGCCATGACAGGTGTACTCGGGTACGCATAGAATATAATGGTGACACCAAATAGATGGTTTAATCTTATAAAATGAGTTCACAAACATGATACCTTGGTTTTGTTTATAACAACCTTCATATTAGTACACATACTTTTGCAGCGCCCATTTTTGAACCTGTTTATTCAAAATATTGTGAAGGCCTTTTCATCCAAGCAATGAATATCTCTATCCCTATCTCTTTAATACTCACCTCTGCTACCTGGTCCATTATTTCGTCTCAATCTCAAGTGATAATAAAACTTCTCATGAGATAATTTGTTATCCCATTCATATTTCTTAGTCGGAGGTCCAAGGAAGGTTTTCAAGCAACTCTTTTCCTGTGAGGGATTGGCCACCCATTTGCCTCCTTTCATTCTGAATTGGAAAAGATTTTTAATGTGTATGAAATGAGAGTTGGTATACATAATGTTAAATGTCTTGGGGTGATAAATGTGCCAGTTACAATCAGTTGTATGATTTGAACCCATTTGCCTCCTTTCATTCTGAATTGGAAAAGATTTTTAATGTGTATGAAATGAGAGTTGGTATACCTAATGTGAAATGTTTTGGGGGTGATAAATATGTCAGTTACAATCGGTTGATTGATTTGAAAAAATATTGATCGTTGATAGCACGATAACGACAACACTTGTCATTGAAAAAGGATTAAGCAGGTTCGAATCTTGGTGAGAATTGTGTGCAAAAGTATTCTATTGGACATTGCAAGCCACTCCATTAATGCAGTCCAACTATGGATAAGTTGTCTCTGGTCAGAAAAATGTTCAATTACAGATGTAAAGTGAGAAAAATGGCCAGTAAGGTTCTCTGAAGCCTCGAAAATTGGCTCCATTCCATTTCACTCTGTGAACCACCTACCAGGAGGTGTCTGTGGAGCCCTGGTTAATTGGTTGAATATCATTAATCTGGACTGGAAACCAGACTTATGGCCATGACGTGATTAATCCGACTCTATCTGTCTTCAGTATAAATACAAAATCCTATTTTATATTCTCTGATCGGAAAACATTTTTAAAGTTTACAGATTTAAAGTTATCAAAAGGGCTTGTGAGGTTCAAAGATTGCCTTTATTACATTTTACTCTGTGAACCCAGGCACTCTGTAGAACCCTGGTTAATTAGTCAATACCCTCAACTTGGACTAGTAACCAGACTTTATGAAATGGGAGCCATGATGTGAATAATCCGGCCTTATCTGTCTCCAGAACAAACACAAATTCTTATTTTATATGATAACGTACTGATCAAATCCTTGAGGAAACGTCTCATCAATGGTAATAATCATGTCATCAGCCGTTATAGTTACAGGTGGTCCATCATGACCAAGTTCTGATCTGTAAAATTCATTATTATCATGCCAAAGATTATCAATCTTCTTGTGCCATCGGTAGAAAATTGGATCACGTACAGCGGTCGCTGTGTCATTCATATAGCTTGTTGCCTGTATAAAGAGGAGTGAATTTGTACGAAATTTATGACTAAGCCTTGAATATGCATCTCAAGATGAGAAAATTAGATTCATAAGCAAGTATAAATACAGACAAGACGTCGTGTTAATTGTTAGTAAGACACTTTCCCTAGCCCTTCAGATTCCCCTGCTTAGGTAGGCAGGTGAAAGTCCAACACGTCGGTAGTTTATTTTTCACCAAAATGAAAATATACTAGATGCGAACAAGAGCTATGAAATGAAAAAAACATGAAAATGGCATTTCACTGTAACCATGAGTGACAGCACGTGGCTGACTGAGTATAGTGAACATAAAAAAGCTATTCAAGAACTTTCTCTAAAATTATTAAATTACTTCTTAGCCTGTGTGTTCTGGTAGAAGCCAGGTTCGTTGTCATATATCACAAGACAGTTAATAATACATAGATTAGAACTATACGCACATATGGATTGGGTGCTCCCGTAGTATCCGTAACAAGATGGCGCACAACCTGAATATAGTATGCGTACCAGGTTAGGGTTGGCAGGTTGTGCGCCCTCTTGGTACAAATACTACAGGAGCGCCCTGGATTGTTGCCATTTTGTTAATATGGCAGCAAACTCTAGACGATAGAAAACCTTATATGAGTAATAAACCCTATTCTGAATCAAATATCCAACTCACTCTTGGATTAAGACCTGTAGATCCAAACACTCCATGTCCAGAATTGTGAAAACTTCCGAATTGGTCTTGATAAATCCCTGACGATGGTTCTAAGATGTGACCAGACCAATTTGGTGTCATTTCAACTCTGGAGCAGAAAATATGAACGGATTAGAATTACTATGCAATTCAAGAGTCCTGCTGCACACTAACACTAATGTATTGGCATATTATGGTATTTTTATTCCTGCTACAGCCTCCTTGAACTACACACATACCAATCCACTATCGCAAACGCATTGAGAGTTAGGGATTGACAGTTAGTCTCGCACAACCTCTACTGATAGTAGCATTAAAATTACATTTGAAAACTTCCAGCTGAAAACCGAGCTTATAGCCCATGTCTATAAAACAATAAGTGGTTAACAACTCTGGGTCAGTGCTGGTAACTGGATGAGAGAACATGGTTCACCATTGCTTGGTACAGAGGATAAAATTTACATAATTCTCAATCATAAATAGCATAAAAGAACTCACCACGCCAAATACACTCAAAGTCCATGCATTTGGAACAAATAGCTGGCTAACTAACCCCATACTCAACGTAACCTGGTAACCGAACGAGACGCCGTGGTTCGCCATCTGATTAAGCTGTCTTATCAACTCCCCCCTGTAAATCCCAGCTTATCTAAATATAACATACCCCCTCGCCACTTCTCCAGTACTCAGTGCTTGTCTATAAGCTCCTTCCATCCATCTGAATTTTTTTCTTGTATTCTCAGGCCATTGACTATTTGGACGTGGGGCATACCATCGGAATTGTCTGTCATTGTGAAATTCCAGCCCTGCATTGAAGGTCATAGCTACTTCATCATACGACCAAGGCTGAAAAAGGATTAAATAAGATAGATTAGATCTATAGCCAACTTTTAGGATACATACCTCCCATGACCTATTACAAAAGTTACCAATGACATTTTTTGTGTGAAGCTTGAGGCAAAACCACCGGTACTATCGTAGTATGTGTACTCAGTTAGGGTTAGGCCAAAATTTTATTCCGATTATTAGATTTATCAGATAGATTAGATCAGGGAATCAGTGATTTCCAACCTTTTTTGACACATACCCCCTCGACCTGTTATGAAAGTAGGACATGACATTCTGCTGGAGCCGAGGCTGGAGCTAATGATTAATTGGTGCTCCCGAAGTATGCGAACCAAGATGGCGGACATCGGAACGTAACATGGGTAACAGGTTTGGGTTAGGCGATAATTTTTTTCCAATTTTCCTTATTTTAGTCCTATTATCAGTTCGAAGACTAGCCAAGAGCCTCCCGTAGTATTTATACCTAAAATTATGGCCTAACCCTAACCTAGTAAACATGTTACATTCCGATGTACGCCATCTTGGTTCGCATAATTCGGGAGCCCCGATTAATTTTTCACATACCGGTACATAGTTTTCTAATACTTCATACAAAATATAAAATCTATCCTTTTCGGCTCATATTTTTTCCCTTAAATTTCAGTTCTAATATTAATTTTATGAATGCAGATATTGAAAAGTATAATTTGAAATTTGAAACCCTTATATCACAGTTTCAACTCCCGCTTCCAGGAAACTAAAATTAGGCTGATGTTTAGAACAATGCCCTCTCTTCACTATACCCAGGGCTGCCATCTTTATGATCCCCAAAATAAGGACATCAGGGAAACATAATAATAGTATAACAAAGAACAAAATGTAATAAAAAAAATGTAATCATGCCCAGTGGCGCAGCCAGGGGGGGTCGGGGACGAACCCCCCCCCCCCTTTTGAATTTTCTGAAAAGTGAAAAAGTTGCCGATAACAGGTGCAATTGCCTTCTGCTAAAATCGCCGTTCGTTTTCATCAACGCGGCATGTTATTTATGCCGTGAACGCCCTTTACAGTGGTGTTTATTCTCTTTAAATCACAAATTTGTGCCGCGGGAACAATGATAATTATTTTATTTTTGTACCCGCACGGAAATGTGAAAACTGAAAAAGCGTGCAATTGCCTTCTGCTAAAATCGCCCATGTTTTCATCAGCGTGTTATTTAGGCCGTAAACGCCCTTAGGTCGGTTTTTATTCTTTCTAAATCATAAATTTGTGCCGCGATAAACATGATAATTATTTTATTTTTGTAATTTGCACGAAATTGTGAATTCGTGAGTTATCATACGTTCATCGGTGGCGAGGTTCTAAAGACAAAAGAAGGAGTAAAATCGCGATCTAAATTTGATTGAAAAGCGGCATTATAAAATACTGAAAATAAAACCGTGTACAATATAAGTTTTGTTGAGTCCCGCGACAGTCTAAAAACGCTTTTCTAGTCGCAAAATTTCGTGTGCCTACGGCGCACATTATGTTTGGTCGCCGTTTAGGAGCATACCGTCACTAAAATCGAAACACGGTTAATTGTGGGTGGGATTTGCCTTTTATCCATTACTTTAAAATTGTCGTAGAAAATTTTCGTGTTATCATTAAACAAGGTTGAAAACGCGATTTTTTTTCCCGGTTTGTGATGATATATAAGATAATTAATCCGAAGTATATCCATCAATTTTTATTGTACTGAAATAAATTTTACTGCATGAGAATTTACAGCAGATTTAGGGATTTTTCAGGAGGTTTTATCTTTAAAAATAATCGGAATGTCAGCATTGCGATTGAACAGAGTCAATGTTACAAGCACATCTCAAATTTGTCGAATTTGCAAAATAGAAAAAATACGGATCAAAACAATATATGATAGGCGACGGGCAGTTAGCACAAATTTTTATTTTTATGTCGGCAAATGGCCGAGGTATTTTAAAATTGTGAATTGTAAAAAATTGTTTTGTTTTGTCGACGCAAACGCTGATTAAATTGAAGACAATTAAATTAATAAAGCAAGACATTTTAAATATGCCCTCATCGGTCACGAATTGATTACTTTGCACAACAGAAAAATCATTTTTCGTTGTAAACGTGGGCTCTTTTAACAAGTGGCGTAATCGTGGCGATGAATATGTATTTTTGATTTAACGATATACTTCATATGCATTTTCATTGTACGAAATAAAATTGTACTTTTCGGGATTTTATATCAGTTATTGAGATTTTTCTAACGGCGATAACGAGTTGGCAAGATTCCAAAAATACGTATTAAAATTAAATACACCGTTTATCTCATATTTTTATGTCCACCGATCGCCGTGGCATTTCAGAGAACTAATGTTTTAATTTTGATGTAAGAAGAAGCAACCGCGAGTTACGTTGGACACAATTAAACTAATATATGAAGACATTTTAGAATTTTGTAGTTGTCAGAGATTGAATATTTCACGCGACAAGAATAATCATTATACGCTGAAAAGACGTCCCTTTAACGAGCGCGTAATGCGAAGACTGTTACAGACCGCAATGGGAATTTATGATTATGAATCCCCCCCCCCCCCCCCCTTTTTGAAAATCCTGGCTGCGCGCCTGATCATGCCAGTGCGACCCGTGTCTAATCGTAATTTGCACTAAAAACTTTATTCTTAGGTAATATCTGTTTCATATGACTGTAGCTCACTTTCTGAGTTCACTTTCACTTGTATGAATATATTAAAATTAGATTGACTACCATATTTTGATTCAAGTTACACGAACTGATCTTTGACGGTAGGCCGATGTTTAGTCATTGTGGCAATTAATTTGTTGTTATTACATAACGAGGTTCTAATATCATTTCTAGAAAATCAATCATTCAAATTGACCAATTTAAGGTATCAGAACCTATACCCCTAAAATAAAACAAAAATAATGACACATATGTCAAAATAGGGACAAATCTTAGAAATAAGGACGTTATGGCAGCCCCGACTATACCATAAAATAAATATTCAGATTCTAAGAAATCTTCCACTAGACAAAACTTAGCTCTAAAAAATTGTAACTTGCCACTACGGGATCCAATCCCCAAGATTCTCTTTCTGCATCATATCTGCCAAGTAATTGTGTGTGCATGTATCCAAACAATTCTCCTTGTCTCAGCAGATGTTTCGGTGCGCTTCCCATGATAGCGAGCTTTCCTTGTGCATCACGCCGCAGAAACTGGCTCACGATGTATACGATGTGGAAATGCCTGATAATAAAATAAGATTTTATTTTCACTAACAATGTCAATACTAACGTAGTATGTGTACCAGGTTAGTGTTAGGCCTTAACTTTATTCAGATTTTTCTTATTTTAGTTTTATTACGAGTCGAAGACTGTCTTTGTTAGTCAAGTGGATATATCCACCAGCCCATAGGCTTCTGTCCCTTTACGCAACTTGATGTAAAAGAGCCGAACAAAATTAGTTACCTCCATATTGGCACACACACTTCTGGAGCGCCACAATGTCAATACTAGCGTAAATAATAACGAGAGAGCAATGCTCAAATGTATGGATACTGTTCCCCTATTGTCCATTGAAGTGTTCCCTGTGACCTATTAAAAGTGTTCCTCTGTGTCCTACAAAAGTGTTCCATATGTCACACATTAGTGTCCCCCTATGTCACACAATAGTGTTCCCCTATGTCATATATGTAAGTGTAAGTTTTCAATAAAAAAAATTTTGATTTCCAACATTCACTTATTCATATTAAAGAACTCGAAATAAACCAGCAAAGCCTCAGTAAAATATAATAATTGCAACAAGACTTTAAGGATATTGGAAAAATAAATAAAAGTAGCATGAACTGAAAATAGAAGCTACCTGTGATGGTAATTGAAATCAGCATCGCATCTCCAGTAATTCATCCAGTCTTCGTTTGGTTGACCATCTCGTCTTGTTACAATCATTGCTGCATCTGTCTGTACTGATTTGTCTTTATCCCGAGGTTCGGGATATCTGAAATTGAAGATGAGATCGAGTGTCATGCGTTTAGTCTCATAAAATGAAATGTTAAATATCTTAATCATTGGCATTCAACAATCAAGTCCTAATAATTATAAAAATAAGGCAAAAAAACTTGAAAAACATAAAGATACTTTCTAAATAATAAATTGGATAAAATACATTTTACAAGCGGTCATCTTTTTCATCCCAATAATGTAAGAGATTATCACTTGTGAGCAGGTAAGCACCCAGTTGTTCTCAGGACGACCCGGGCTATTTTGTTGTGAATAATCAAACAGTGTTGCCACATTAAACACCCTACATGTTTAATAGCGTAAACATAGGGCTATATCCATTGGCCTGTCTTATAATAAGAAATGGTACAAAAAATGAATGCAACATGGTTAATCAAACTTGTTTTGTACATATAACTTCCTCTATGAATCGTTTGTGATCTTGTTTATTAACACTCAGGCCAAATTAGGCTTCTTGTTTGTCAAGCCATAACCTAACTGTTCTTGTTGCATTGTGATAGAGATTGTTTCAAGTCTGGTATCAACTGTTTTTTAAATAGATATCTGAGTGGTCACCTAAATCTTTTCTTATATGTAGTGAAACATATTTTAATTAAGGACTGGTAATGTCAGTTCTCACTTCTCAAGAGAAGAACATACCAGCAACAAACACACTAAGTTTCTCTATTTGATGCATTTTTACTAGATTAAAGACTAAACCAAGCTATGTTGTAAACAGCGTTAAATACTCACTTGATTCCAGCTCTCTTTGCATCCATAGAGTGAACAATGAAAGCTTCCAGAGCCCATCTTAACACCATATAATTCACTTCCCTTCCTTTCTGTAGTTTGTCAGCGTAAGTGATTGTAGCAAGAAGACTTTTAGTCTCGCTGTATTTGTTGAAAAGCATTTCCACAATTGTAGACGCCATTCGAAGTTGTGGGACATCAAAATTACTGAATGGCCTGTAACAAGAATGTAAAATAAAATTAGCCAGGTAATAACAAATCAATAAGAAATGTGATGCTAAATGTGTATGCTGGGTCTCGCGGAGTGCTGTGATGATTAATAAGCATTTACTCCCGGAGTATGTGGACCAAGATGGCAAACACCAGAACATAGTATGTGTACCATGTTGAGGTTAGGCCACCACTATAACTCCTTATTTTAGTTCTATTACGAGTTCGAGACTAGCCAAGTGACTCCCGTAGTATTTGTACTTGAAATTATGGCCTAACCCTAACCTGGTACATATACTGTGTTCAAATCTAGCACAGTATTCTAAACAAACTGATCTGGCACAAAGTTATTTATGATATTCAGACTATTTATTTCACTTATAACATTCACTTAGTAATCTTACATTCCCAGACCAATCCCACTAAGATCAGATTCTCCATCTCCATCAGTAGTTGGAGCCCAAGTCAACACAGTCTCTACTTTCTTCTGAAGATATCCTGCTGCTTTTTTATCCTCGGGGTCGGCTGAAATCAAATCAAAGATTAGAGAGCTACAAGAAGAAGGAAAGAAATAGAATTTAAGCTTACAATCTTTTATTTGACAGATAAGTACATAAAAGTAAAAACAATATTCAATCTATTATTTCAGGCAACTTCAGGCACGCACTACCTTTGGGAACCGCAAGCATAATAGTTAAAGTGTTAGACTTAATTATGATGGCATAGGCAATGCCAAACAAGCCTTGCTAAAAATGGTGCCTTCTTTTATACTGTGATATCAGTGGCTTTTTGTACATGGCCTTGTTCAAAAAAAAAACTCAAATGAGCGTTCTAATAAAAGATACAATATCGAACAATGACAATGTCGCAATATCCCTATTGATATTAAAGAAGTGCAGAACTGCTAAAACAAAATATTGCAGATCATACTTACTTGGGTTTTTCATTTTACTCCAATCCTTCGCCAACTTTCGCACAACGTCATATTTCACACCGCGAGTTACAAGGTCCGTTAACATTTGGTTGAATTCCACCTCTGCATCCTGGATTCTCTTGTCATGTAGAAAGAGTTTGCATCGTCCAAACACCAATTTGCCATAGTCAAGATTTTCAGATTTTTTCCCCTGAAACAGAAATTGCAATAGTAGTACAACTAGCAGGTATGGGAATAGTTAACCAGTTATTTTGGCTTCTCGTCCGGCTACCGCCCATGTCAGGTATGGGAATAGTTAACCAGTTATTTTGGCTTCTCGTCTGGTGTCCGGTTATCGCCCATGTCAGGTATGGGAATAGTTAACTACCTAGTTATTTTGGCTTCTCATCCGGCTACCGCCCATGTCAGGTATGAGAATAGTTAACCAGTTATTTTGGCTTCTCGTCTGGTGTCCGGTTATTGGCCATGTCAGGTATGGGATAGTTAACCAGTTATTTATTTAATGTATGAACTCGTTGGTTACATGAACTACGAAGTACGTACATAAACTACAAAGGCAAGAAGTCCAGAAATCCTGTCCCACATAATCATTCCCCACAAGATTCGAACCTGCGAACCCATGCATGATAATTGGAGCTGTGATGGCAAGAATTCCTAACGCCTGGCATGATATGCAACATAGCCTACCTAACATATGAATCCTATCTCCCATGGTGAAAATAAAATTTTATAGCACTACTATTTAGACATACAAAATTCATTATGGTTTACCTCCTCATGGTAATGCTTCACAAGATCAGCCGTATCTTTAAGAAGTTGTTTTGAGCCAATCACTGGCTTCGAAGACGCAAGAGTGGTTTTCCTAGAAGCGCTTCTCGTCTTCTTACCACCAGATGACAGAGTGCGAGCATTTTCTTTGCATAGACCTTCCATTACGCATAGAAGCTCCGTCACCCGTTTCTTCTTGTATTCGACAGGTTTGGAAACGACTTTCTTCCAATATTCATGCGCTTTCTTGAATCTACCCCAGCTAGAAGTTTGAAGAGTAGCTGCTGACAAGATCTGGAAAATATAGATCAATTGATGAATAAACAGATAAATTCGTTACTTTGTCGAGCACAACAGAAAAAAGTAAGTCGATAACGTACACAATCTCTTTTGGCATAGACTGGAGAAAATGATATGATCTATCAATCACCAAAGTCCGGGCTAACTAATTCTACCGGCTTTCCTTTTCCCCCGGAATAAATACATACATCCTAAGTCACTTTTAATATCCTACCATGCATAGGATTCAGTTATTGAATGATTCTAACTGACTAACAATCAGCGATGGATACTATGTTCGATTTACAAGTTGAAGATTACTGATTTACCTTCAATAAAAAACGATTTGATTGATTGATTAATGATCTTCTCCTGAAAGACCCAAATGAATCTCAAAGCCTATACCTATGTGTTCAGAGCTATAGATTTCAGAAAGAGAAATCTAATTTAATTTCAGTTTTTCAAACATGGAGACTCCCTATTTTAGCGACAATTTCAATCAAGACTATACAGTATGGAAAATTATTACGGAATGTTCACATTATAAGCAACATAAACAGTACCAGCAAATAGTTATTGCAACTGAAAACTACCTGGTTACTTGTTTCATCATCTTCATCCGTATTTTCAACAATGTGCAGCGGATAGGTGGCTAAGAATAAAAGAATTAAATAAAGAAACAATGAAACCAAACACACAATGCCCAAACAAAGCTTGAGAAAGAGCTCAAATATATTGAATGATATGGTCAAGAGTAATATAAGCAAAATTCCAGCAAAGCATTGAAAGTATTGAACAAAATGTCATAAAAAGGTGAACCCATGAAATCTAAAAACAGAAAAATTTGTGCTAATTATGGAGCAAAATTTTAAAAAGAATATTATTCAAAAGCCTTTTAGAGACTTCTTACGTTTTCAATAATGATCTAAAATTTATAAGTCCAGAACTTGCTAAAAAGATCAACAACAAAATAAATAAGTTTGTAATGATGCACATCAAACTATAAACTCACCAGAAGTAACCTTGTACCTTCCTCCATTGTACACAGCTCTGAGTTCATATCTTCCGGGAGTGGTTGCCTGGTAACCATCTGGTCCTTCCCCAACTATTACCAACTCATTATATCGATCATGACCTTCCTCATCTTCTGGTGTGTATAACACTAATGGTTTTGTGTAACCGGATTGAATGGGACGAACAAATGGGTCAATAACCTAAATGAAAAATAATATTCAATATTTAACACTCAAATCCTATGCCCATCACTTCATACAGGGTGTAAGAAATGGTGTTGGGCAGTGGCGTTGCCAGAATTTTCAAATTGTGAAAAGAGGTCTGAAAATTCTAATGCAAGATCGTAAGGGCTAGCAGGTATGACAGGAAGCAAAAAAGTCCTGCGGGTCTCAAAACTGTTTCAAGCTACAAAAAAATTGCAATGTATGATACAATAAAATGCTTGTTTTTACATTTCAAAAGGGGACCCAAGGGTTCCGACCTTGCTACGCCCCTGTTGGAGAGGCTCGAGTCATTGACCGAAATTGAGTTGGACTCTGGTTACCATTTATATATGACCTGAAGTGATCCAAATCAACTGAATGAAATGGCCAAACACTTCATCGACAAAGTGAGACTTGAACCCTGTGATTAGCTTCAGACTCACGACCAAAAATTCTTCCAAAAATAGTAGATCTGTATGTATAGTTAAACAACACATTGTGCTTTAACAGAGCCTTATTCAGAGCGAACTGCACTGAAGTACGCGGCATAAAAATAGAGACAAACTAAATCCAAATTTTGATGTTCTAGCTGAAAATAGATCAGGGAATTTGTTGATATTGCAATTAAATTTAGTTTTAGCACGATGTATACTGTTTTTGTTTCTGTAACACTGTTAATATCGTTCATTAAATGTAACTCTTTACGTCACATGGCCCGTCAGTCTAGGTGGGCCAAATTGTTGGCACATGGTCCAAAAACTTGCCCACCACAAATTTAGAGTGAAATGAATAAAATCAGCGTCCAGAATAATATTATAAACAAACAGTTAAAATTAGTAATGCTCACCTGTACAACACCAGTAGGAGAAGTGAGATACAACTGAAGATTGCCAGATTCTAGAGATAAATCTCCTTCAATCAATGCCGGGAGTTTTCCAACATTCTTTATCCGTGCTTCAAAACTGAGGAGTTGACCCTGAAAGGTAGAATCTTGATTAAAAAAATTTTGCGACCCAGGCAATGTCATATCATTTGTCAAGGATTTTTCTTAATTTCTTCTTCAATCATCTTGTAGAATGCCAATGTTAACATCTAAGTTAAGCATAATAAATTGGTAACGTAAATGATTGATTTAAGTACGGTATGTCAACCACTCAAATTAATTATGTTAAATTAATAAATTAGACTAATAATAACAAATATGAAATAGCCAGATTTTCATGGAATTGCTTATTGTTTTTCATATTAAAATATCAACCATGAACATGATCAACAAATCATTATTAGGCCATTCAAGCGAGTAAAATTGAAAAAAAAAAATATTTAAATGAATTCTGGCTTCCAATCGGAATGCGGTGGATCCCAGCAAATGACGCTAATGCGCAATCTTGTGCAAAAAGAAGTTGATAAGTAATAAGCTAATTGAATAAAATACAATATTTCTTTTCACTCTAGATACCAACCTTTACGAATGGTTCTGATCTAATTCTCAAGTCCAAAACAATCTTTCTTTTAGGTCGTTTGCTGGCCAACACTCCTGGATCATCAACAACGTCACTTTCTTCATTAATGTCATCATCGCCATTAGCAACAGTGACATCAGGAGCCTCAGATTTAACTTTGTATCCTGATCCCATGACATCAGCGAGGATGGTTTGAGAACAGGCAGTTCGAAACTCCTGGAAACAGTTATATTTTCATTTACCTCGTGGAAATAAAAGCTTAGTTGAATGACGAACCACATCCCCTCGTCAGGGTACTAGTCTGTGGGGGGTATGGGAATTAATAGTCATTTATTTGTTTCAGAGGCGTTACTGGAGTATGCGTACCAAGATGGCGGACACCGAAATCTAGTATGTGTACCAGGGTAGGATTAGGCCATAATTTTAGTTACAAATACTACGAGAGGTACTTGGCTAGTCCCTGAATTCGTATTAGAACTAAAATAAGGAAAATTGGAATATAATTTTGGCCTATCCCTAACCTAACCTGGTATACATACTATGTACCGGTGCCCGCCATCTTGGTACGCATACTTCAGAAATACCGTTTTATATGCATGGACTCAGTGGAGGAAACTGCATTCGACCAACAGTTGTGTGAACTACACCTATAACAGTGACGAGTACAGCATTACTCTAATTTTCCGCCATCTGAAATACACAGTACACAAAATGGTACTTTAGGGTGAATGAGGGCGCGAGACACCAAGACTGGTTATCGAGCAGCGACACCCATATAACAACAAGTTAAACACATTGTTAGTAAAAAAAATTCTCACTTTCCCAGGGCTATGTCTCAATAATCTCAATTCTTGATCGCTGAAGGAAAATCTGAAGTCAGAATAAAAGCTTCCAGGTTGATGAGAAACATCATATTTCCAAGCATAGTTCATCCAAGAGAGTGAATTTGGTGCACCTAACATAGAATATAGAAGATTAGAGGTAAAGGGTGCTTTAGAATTACACACAAAATCAAAGAGTTACGTTTGAAAGATTCATAAAATTCAGAAGAACTAAGTTTTCTCAGAAAATTAAATTTTATCCTGGAATTAGGAAAACTAATGCAGATTGGCTCCTTCTGCAATTATGAGATTCAGTAAGAATAGGATATTCAAATTTATCCCAGGGAAAGTAAAGAGGATAATACAGCTAACATATGGTTCACCACATTCTCGCATTCGGTTATCTGTCAGTGTTGGTATTGGATAAGCAACTGCCCACACTTTCTCATCAACAAAATGTTGCATCGCCGTGCTTAGTTGTTTTTTGGAAATTGCCCCTAAAGCGATTTTCAGTCATCAAGTACGATCGACTGTGAGCTCTCACCAATTTACTCTCATTGTACCAACCAGACAAAATTTGTGTCTAAATGGTATTGTTTCAGTGACTATAACTATAGGTTCGCTTAGAGATCGGTCTCAAGATGGCGCACAACCTGAACCCTAACCTGGTACACATACTATGTTCATGATGTGCGCCATCTTGGTGCACATACTTCTGGAGGTTCAAAATTTCATTGCTTCACAGCCAAGACATTTATACAAATACAATCTTACCAATTTCAAAAGGATGTTTCAGTCCAAGGCAATGTCCACATTCATGCACAAGATAATGCAACAGACGACGTTGAGCTTCGTTTTTTAGTACAATGTTGTCAGAGTCAAGATCAGAAAAACTAGAGTGTCTGCAAATAATTTAAAATATACTAATTTTGTGTCAATTTTCAGTGGTCTGCGCCTACTGTCTAGTCTCAATAAAAGCATAAAAGACAGTAATTGACTTTTCTAGTGATATGTTGAAAGGGTACTCCCCTAGTGTGCCTTAATTTTCTTCCGATTTTCCTTATTTTAGTTCTATTACAAATTCGGGGACGTCTGTGTTAGCCAAATAAATAAACCCCTTGCCCATAGGTTTTAGTCCCTTTACACAACTTGATGTAAAGTAGGCGAACAAAATTAGTTCCCTCCATATTGGCACACACACTTCTGGAACGCTGTTGAAAGCCATGTGAATGTTGAATGAATTATACATTTACATTGAATTGAACATTTACACTATTTGAAATGTGTGATTACCTTGCGTGGTTCGCAGGTTCGAATCCCATACGGGGTTAATTATGAGCGAGCGGATTGCTGGACTTCTCGGGATTCGTAGGTGGTTCACTTAACCGCTGTTCGGTCACAGCTTCATCCACCATCAAGTCCATGCATCTGAGAACAAATACCTGGCTAACTAATCCCATACCCATCCCATACTCATCGTGAACCAGTAACTGCACGAGAGGCTGTGGTTAGCCATATGATTAAGCTGTGTTATCGGCTTCCCTCACCTCCGGAATGAATATGTAAATCCTATCCTATCTTTGTCTCAGTTACTGACAAAACAACACACAAGTCTTTTGCCGTTAAGTAGAACATACCCTGTGAAAAGTCCAAATCCATGTCTACCGTCCTTATCAAAAGAGAATCCCATATAACGCTTATCAGGTGGAGTAGTTCCCATCATGCACCAGATGTTGTCATCAGATTGTTCAGTTTCTTCAAAATAATGCATCATCACATCAAACAAATCCGATTTCGACCAAGGATTGTTTGGAGTTGGATCTTCAACCTGTGAAAATGTAGGAGTATCATATAGTTCAGTGGTTCTCAAACTGTGGGGCACGCCCACGCATTGCGGGGCATAGACAATTTTTTGAGAAAATTAAAAATTGAAATATTTGTTGGATTTAATCTCGCCCGAATTATTTTGGATATTTACATATCTTCATTTTGAATATTTACATTCTTTATTATTTACATTTCTTTACTGTGTATACATATTTTCAATGTTATTTTTGAATAAAACATACTTTCGCTTTACTATCTGTTATTTATAGCTTATTGTTAGCTAGTTATTTTTGAAGAGGGGGCGAGACTTCACAAATTTTAAAAAGGGAACGCAGCTCAAAAAGTTCGAGAATCACTGATATAGTTAATAAGATCTTATTAAATTGCTTCGACAATGGCCCCCACAAGAAAGAAGCCTTTGGGTTAGGCCTTCAACTTGTTATAGATAGGAACATCTCTTATTTACTTATCAGCTGATCAAATTTAGATTAAATGTAATAAGATTTTATATGGCGCTTATATTGCTGTGAATGGCGCCCTTTGCTTGAATTTTGTATGACGTGAACAAGGCATGTAGAAGCAGTTATGATTGAACAATATGTGAGAAGCTGCTGTTTCTGAAAGGATCAGACGGTTTGTTATTGTAACTATGTTCGCACAAATGATTAAATCATCTTAATTTTGAATCGCAAATTGAACAGAATCGCTCGAAGATATATAACATTGCTTGATTTCCATGTAGAAAGTACAATTCGATGACCTTTAGTTTGATTTAAAAAAGTTATAAAGATTTATTCAATTGACTACCCGGACAAAACAAGATATGTCTCCAGATTGCTGCCCTAAATTTATTCAAGCATCTATTCAACAACCCAATAAGCCCTTAAACCACAGATTAGGGTTAATCCCACAGGATTTAGTATGGTTCTCTAAAAACGTAGTAGGCCTATTCAGAAAAGAATTCTTGAATTTGAAAAATAAAGTGGGTCAATTTCAAATAAAACTGCCATTACACAAACCAAGAGATGAGTTTCTTGTTTATCAGTAACAAAGTTTTTTCAATCATGCCCAATGGTCTCTACTATTTTGTACCAAGAAATGTTAATTTTCAACAATAAAACCAAACGAACAGCTTTACAGTCGCAATATTTGGAGTAATTCCATTAAAAATATAATTTTCATGAAGAATATACTTTACGTTAGCAACAGTAGTGTTGTTATAAAGGTTGTACCTAAAGTCCTCTTATGATAAAAAAATGAAGTATTTATACCAATTGTACTCTAAGCAGGGCTTTGCATAAGCAGCAACCACTGGGTAAGTAACTAGTATACTTTGCATTACAGCAACATATGAAATTATGACCTCAATTTCATTTTGAAATGTGCCGAAAACCCCCAGAAAATACAATATTAAAATTTTATACAGTACATATTTATTATGACGGACATAGTAATATGCAGTTTTTTTGAAATTTTGACATCCTTATCAGAAAACAAAATGAAATTCCTTATTTACATGATTGTATTTGTTTTGTGGACTCAGGTTAGGTATAAACATCACAGATTACCATATTTAAAACATAAATGCTATGCCTACCTTTTCACTATCAGCTTCATTGTAATGCAGTTTCAACCCAGCATCTTCAAACGCAGAGAAAGCATCAATTTTCCTGTCAGACATTCCAGCAGGTGGAGCACCAAGGTTAAAGAGTTCAACAATTGGCCAAACCATCTTATCTGTGTAGTCAATGTCGATTTTGATGTCTTTGAAAAACTGTCAAAAAGAGGGTGAACGTTTTTGAACTAGCGAAGTCAATCTAATAGGCAGATTTAAATATATATTCTCATTATTCAAAAATCAATGTGCCGCACACTTTTCATGGGATGCCTATTTACGCCTTTTGCTATAAACAAAGCCTATTTTTGGTGGGATCAGTATCTTTCGGTCCTGCACAACGACCCGCACAAAACAATGATCAATCACTGTTGTTACTACTGAAATATTTTCTTTATTGTTTGATGTTTATATTAGTGTTGATTTTGTTTTTGTGGCAAAAAATATCTCTCCTCCGTGGTTCATTGCAAACCCAAATTATTCCACTCTAAGGTGGTGAGCATGGAATTTGAACCCAAGATGCGCTGCATAGTTGTTAGCGCCAACTCAAAAATATAAGAGCATAAAAACAACAACATTAGATTTACTCAACAAACAAACTATGAGAATGGAGCGGGCCACAATGACTCACAAAAAATGATACAAAGAATTGGGGACCAAAATTATATCTGATTAAGTAAGTTTATTTTGCCTGTGTTATCAGCATAATAAAGATGAGTCATGAATGCAAGAAATAAGGATAAAAGCAAGATTTAAAACCTACAATTGATTATGTGTTAAGGAATTGGTAAAATCCATGAATAATAATAATAGTCCATATATACCAGTAATCCTCAGGGCAAAAACCAACAAAGAACAGGAAACCAGTTGCTATTAAAGAACTAAAACAGCAGTAACTTATCAGGGAATTTCCATCAAGAAGAGAATGTGTTTGTTATTCAAATTTAATATGTGAATATAGCTATCCAAACAAATTTTTGTAAATTTCCAATGCGACCGAAACCATTGTGGGTGAATAAATTTAACAAGGAACATGCTATTATAAAATATTTACAAGTGGGTAATCCCGTAGTGTGTGTACCAGGTTACAGTTTGGACATAATTTTATTCCAATTTTCCATATTTTAGTTCTAATATGAGTACGGAGACTGTCTGGGTTAGCCAAGTGACTATACCTCCTGCCCATAGGTTTCAGTCCTTCATTGTTTAAAGCCATATTCATGAGGCTATACAAATATCACAAATCTCATTAAATATGAAACTAGTATTGTCTATATACAATCTATGCTTGAATAAGTCCATGCTATCTATTCCTGATAACCATACACGACATGAACAACCAGATGAAGAGGACGTGATTAAGCCATCTTATCGACTTTCCTCTACCCCTGGATAAATGTATAAATCTCCTTCATTCACCTCTACCTATTTCTTGGAAATATTTACAAATAAAGATTTGTTTGAAATTTCAACATTAAAGCGCATTTCCAAATTCACAAGAAATTTTAAACTCACAAGGCTCTGTCTCTCAATTCCATTCAAAGATAACTTCGATTGTCCATCAATTTCCAAATCAATCTTTGCTGACCAGTTCTTGGCTTTTGTCAATTTGACTGCCAATGATCCTCCAGCCTTAGTTCCATCACTGAAAGTTGCTTTTATACTTGCAGTGGCATCGCGATTATTTGAAGTTCCGCCAGAAACATTCAAAGTTCTTGGTATGATGGTGAAGTACACAGCAGAAGCATCAACTGACCTAGAATGATATAGAGTTGAAAATATGAAGACATTTATTCATCAATTCTTCAGGATTGATAGTACTAACAAGTGGCAACCCCGCCCAATTAACAATGGCAGAACTACCTCTGAGTTTCACAAGGTTATTATTACTTTTGTTTACGCATATGAACTAGTGGAATGATATTGGTTTCAAGTCCCATATTTTGATTGAAAAAAATATATATTAAATTGCTGCATATGCCGCTCTTTATATTTAAAACCATGGTAGGTTATGGAACACTACAACGAATTCGAGCAATTGTTAGGTGGACAAAAACCAAATGAAGGCTTTTTCTGATTTACGAGAATCAAAGCGATTAGGAAGAGTCTATAGATGGTGAAAGCCACATGACCGAATTTTGTATTTGATCGCTTTATATTGAATAATATAATAATAATAAAGAATGAATAATGACACCATAACTTTAAGGGATTTAACCCAGTATGATCGTGAAACTCTGGAAATCTGTTTTGAGAAAATCAGGTAAATGTATATTTTAGATTTTAAACATATATCTTTCTTCATTGAAATACTTACGTAAATTTTGCATCAAACTATGATTAGACACCAGTTTAAAGAACACCCATTACTTTGTAATATTTTCCATTAATTTATTCTCCTCAAATTTTAAGATTCACTAAGATTTAAGATTTGTCTTGGAAGTCTAGCACTGTCATGGCTCACTGCTGGGCCATAGGAACATATTCAGGTGGTCCACAACGTGTTGAAAATTGCATTAGTTATTGATAAATCTAGTTTCATTTATTACCTGGTATTACCCTGGCATGGGAAATTTACAGAATGTTTTTGCAACGAAAATGGGCTGTGACAGAAAAAAAGGTTGAGAACCATTGGTCTGAACCTATTGGTCCACTATGCCTATATAGTTACATAAAAATATTTGAATTTGAAGATTTGACAACTAACCAAGGAGCATCTTTTGCATTTTTTGTTGACACAGTTCCACTGATGATATTGAGTTCTTCATAATATTTTCTGGTTTTGTCGACATCAACCATCAATTGTACAGCCAGTCCTCTCTCCCCACCTTCATATCGACCACTACAAGGATTAACAATTGCTGGAATAGAAAAAAATTGGCACTGAGTATAAAATCAAAACTATCTTCAGTCATTCTTGTAAAAAGCATACTCCAGATAAAAACTGTACAGACAGCCAATTCGATTTTCGTTTAACTCAACTCAGGAGAAAAAGTTTATGAATGTCTAATGATATGGCTGGCCACTGCTTCTCATGTACTATCGGTACTAGTTGAGAATGTAAATAGTTAATCGTTTCAGATACAGGCATGTACATTTGCTCACGTAAACGGCATCCAGGACAATTGTACCTGCATACTTTTGTAACAAAGATTTTCGTACCCACATTTAGATTGCATACATGTACGTTTGCAACTTTAAACTGTACCCATGGACATCTCCACCCTCCATGGACATAAGCACAAATACATTGCACCCAAAGACATTTGTACCCGCAAACCCTTGGAACCTTCCGTGGACATAAGTCCAAATGGACATTTGCACCCACAGACACTTAATGTCATGTAAATTTGCAACCATGGACATTTACATAGACAGTAATTGAAAAACAATTGAAAAACTGTGACCTACAACAAATTTTACAAAATCACGAAGTTTTTAAAAAACTCTTTAGAATAAAAAGAAAAGTCGATGAGATAACTTAAACATAGATTGAATTATTTGAAACGAAAAATTGTTAGTCAGACGCACCTCCATCACCTCCACACATAGTGTTACTTCATCATGTCAGTGGCCATTAACATTACTTGGAATGAACAGGGTAGTCAACATAAACATTCAAGATTAATTTTACAGGTGATCTCGTCTCTCAACGATTCGGCTTTACAATTGAATAATTCAACATTTTCTAGTTAAGTTGGAAAAAGTCTGAAGTGGAAACTTTTTGACCAGAAGCGTTTTTATTGTTAGTATATAATATCTACTTTAGTAGTTAGGCAATACAAAACAAAATTGAATTAATAGCAAATTACCCCAAAGTGAATGGTACTCTGCAAAAAGAAAACTACAATCATCTATCACAATAAAAACTGCAAAACCTTATGGTCATTTACGTCGCTTTTAATGTAGACTGAATGCCAAATAAAAATGTCAACTTTGAATTCTTAGTAAATCTTTAAACTTCAACATCCCAAAGCCATTGGAATTGCTGTATTTTTATCAAATATTTGAAACAAGATTAAATTCCATTTCATTCATAAAACTTCTTCATGAGATTCTAGCATATTTGCCAGATGGTGGAATTATTATTTTTATTGAATTCAAACCTTATTTATATAGTTCAGTGTATTTGATGTAAGAACCTAATATAATATAGTGGTTATAGGTAGAGTGTCTGGTTTACGAAGAACCATAACAGCTTCTCAGAAAAAGTGCTTATTCTTCCTCCTTGAAGCTAATGAAGATATTCAAGTGTTTTTATGATTATTTGCTCAATGTAAAGAAAAGCGTAATCAATCAGAAGAAAATATGATTTATTAGTCATGAGTGGTGTTACTGGCGACCAATGAAATTCCCAAAACTCTATAAACTATAATTATTATTTATGGTCGCGCATTACACACCATCTGAGGCGTGTGACAATAAAGTGACAAAATCCTGAAACAAGAATATCGGTCAGAGACCGAAGACTTATCGATCGAAAGTTAGGGGATCTTCCAAAACAGCGCTCTTACTCCATAGTGACACCAATTATTAACTCGCTAATTATACGACATAATTCATCCAAAATCAATACGCTTCTGGTCCGACATATGATGATTGCACATGCAAAATCTGGAGCAGATTCAACTGACAGACATACAGACAAATACCTATCAACAAACTTACCGATTAAAATCGACATGAAAAAAATGAATGGAATACGATACGGAATGGGATACGATCATATACCATTGTAAGAGACCGATTAAACAGTTAAAACTAATACAAAAATGTCGCCTAATTACGTCTAAATGCGACGTAACTTTTTTTTTTATAACTAATATTTTTACCCGTATCTCTGAATCGCTTGGACGGCGGTGGTCCAGATACTCCAGCCGGTGTCGGTCCTTCTTTGACAATGTCTGACAAGAAAACGAGAAAGTTATAAGTAGGATAGGGTTCACATATTTATCCCGTGGGAGAGGAGAGTCGATAAGACGGCCTAATCATATGGCAAACCACGGCATCTCGTCCGGTTACAAGCCCATGTCGGATATGGGAATAGTTAGTCAGTTATTTGTTTGACATGGACTTGATGGCGAAGGAAGACGTAACCGACTAGCGGTTACGTGAACCACCCAGCAGAGTCCAGCAATCCTCTTGCACATAATTAACACACGGGATTCGAACTTGCGAACCCACGGAAGTTAATCAAAGGTGCGGTGGCGAGCCATTTCAAACGCTTAGAACGATGCGCCATACCGCCAGCTTAGTATGCTTATTTCAATTTCTAATAATGATATTCTTGAACACCAACACAAAAGTCAGACTCGAGTAAGATAAGGGCGACAAACGAAATTCTGTTAGCTATTGAAAACCACATAATTAGGTAGATGAAATAAGCGCCAGTAATTGCCAATTGACGCAAAATTTGAAGCAGTAAAAGTTGATCAAATAAGATCACGAGTATAATATTATTTTTTTAAACAAAAAATTCATTATATGTTATTGTAAACTTTTAGACTCGACGACACAAGGTTCATAAAATTGCGATATACGAGAAGAAAATGTAAACACAAGGACGGCACTTTAGTCGCATTTACATTACCATGAAATAAAATTTGATCGTTTATTTCAAAAACTAAAAAAACACTTTGATACCGACCTTTGCATGACTTCGCCATTTTCGGGTCAGAAATTATTTATACAACGAAATTAAAGCAACAGAGGTGCCTAGTACCTGCGAAAAATAAGTTGTTATAATGACTCATACTGAAATTTAAATATTTATCAAACGTTTTAAAACAGGAATGAGCACCCTGCCCGCGGGCCAAATGCGAGGACCGCGAAAGAGTTTTTTTATACAATTCAATCCGGTATGTGTGAGTAATTCCAATCCCTTTGCGTTGCAAAGTTTATACCAGAGTCCACTTTATGATCTATGCCTATGACGTTACAATGCCCTAACAGCTAGTCCGTAGGAAGAGAACAACGCATGTCATAAGATCAATAATCAAAAATTTTCATGTAGTAATTTGTATCTGTCTCTTCGGTACTCCTGAAGTATGCGCACCAAGATGTCGCATAACCAGAACCCTAACCTGGTACACAACCTGAGTTCAGGTTGTGCGCCATCTTGGTGCGCATACTTCAGGAGGTCCGTCTCTTCTATATTAAAGGTCGCACAGCCTTGTTTCAAAATATTAAATCTCCGTGCCAAAGAAAGAATAAAAATTGATAGAGATCGACCCGCAAAACCACCCCCCTGGCTACGCCACTGGTGAAGCCTGACATCGTAACGATAAGCGTAGGAAAATTGATGTTTTCCTACGTCCGTTTCTCACTATCTGGTCTATGGTTTGACATTTCGATCTCCAATCGGTATTAATATTTTAAACATCCCTACTCCGCGATCGCCAGTACCTATCCTATTACGGTGTCTAGTTCATGATCGCAAAATCGGGATTAAATCAACCGAAACACTCAGTTTTACGAATTCGACGAGAGGTAAGTCGGTTCTCTCTTAATCTAATTATAGTTTGGACTTTTATTACCGTAATTCTGGTCGATTCAAGACTTCATCGTAGCCTGACATCAGAGAATATGGGCGTTTTTTGACGGTGCTTAACCGTCCGTTTTTCGCTATCTGATTTTGGGATTGACATTTCGACCTCGAATCGGTATAAATATTTCAAACATCCCTATTCCGCGATCGCCAGTGCTTATTATATTACGGTGTCTGGTTCACCATCGCAAAATCGTAAGAGTGGACAGAAATTGCATTTTCGCCATTAATTAAATCAACCTAAACACTGGGTACCACGATATTCGTGATCACAAAATGGTAAAACTGGGGATTTTGTCGAAATAGCACTCTAGAGGTTAAAATTGAATAAACCAAAACACTGGGTAGTGGGTACCACAATATTCGTGATCGCAAAATCACAAAAGCGGGGATTTTGTCGAAATTGCACTTTCACGATTTAATATACAAAACCACTCGGTATGAAACAGCATTTGCTTCTGATGTTTTCAAACTTTGAATGAAATCGCAGGGGGCATATTCACTTGGCTATCATAGACAGTTCCCGAACTCGTAATAAAACCAAAATATTCTCAGTTCAACCGGAAAGCCTCAGGGAAGTCGGAAGTAAATTATGGCCTAACCCTAACCTGGAACACACACTACGGGAGTACCGCTCTAACTATTTTAAGGACTCTTCAACCCTTTTATATCGAACCAAACGTGCTGAGAACATAATGAGGATTGGAAGCAGAACCCTAAGTTCGAAGCTCCCAATCCATCAAATGGTATACTGTACCTTCCCTGTCTGGTGCGTTAGAATAATTGTTCAACGATTTATTATGACCCGACTAACTTGAGTGAGATAATTTAACACTCTGTGTTTTTACCTTGCATTCTAGATACCGCCAATTTGTATGTCATTATCACAGTTAAGCACGTGTATATTCGTAACAATTCAATTATACCGATATAATATTAACCCTTCGAGGCCTCTCCCCTGTCCCAGCCCGCGAATATCCTTCCGTTTCATATTTTGGCCACCGTCAATCAACTGTGGGAACCACTGGTTTAGGTGAAGCCTGTTCTGCGTCATACATACAACCTTAGATACATCAAAGTAGGTAACCTATGACACTTGTTACTCTGATAACGTAATTTAAAATCGTGGGAATATAAACGTGAAAAGACTGAACATACACCCGTAGTGTTAACTAAAATCGCAAGCAATTACAAAATAGCTAGCAAATGATTTCTATACCCGCAAGTCTTAAAACGAAACTTTGCAACTGCAAATGTTGAAATTCCCTATTTTAAATTCAAGCATATAATTTGTGCTGGGAATTCGCAAATAAATGGCAAAAATTATTTAGATTTGCTCAATGTCTGGGATAGTAAACTTTACATGATTCTTGAGGTGGCCGAGACGGCGTCGCAATAAAACTTTAACAAAGTAAATTTCAACTATATATGGAACACGGAAACTTAACAATGCTATCTGAATAATACCATTTCGTTGTGGTCGAGGCTTGGGTAGCAAGGTATATTTTAAATGTGCACAACTATGCCAATAATGCCATGGATATTAGAACGAAAAAGCAACACTCCCATGGCTTCACAAAGCTTGGTATATGATAGCTCGTCGGTTCTACCAATTGTGCAATAAATAATAAGCGGTGCGTTCGTGTTTTTGGGCCATTTTCAAATTACACTACTATAATCTGTCTTGGCAGAAAACATTGAACTGTTACTTCGAATAAGTAATATTAGAAATGCGAAACTCACGGGCGAGGTGTGAGAGGCGTCAATAATATTTACATTTCCAATTCGCTATTTAATTTAAAGTATTAATTTGCATTTTTCGAGGATTGGGTTTACCAGGGTCGGGCTGCGTTTTCCATAACTACTCAGTCGCGTACCATTCATTCGTTCAATTTAAAACCTTTTTTTCGTAAATTTTCATTCTAGCGAAACTATTCTCTCACAAAAAATACTCGCGCAAACGTGAAAATTCGCTAAAATTACTATCACACAGAACAGTTTTTTGGCAAGTAGATCACTTCTCACAATCTAAGGAAACGAATCATACCTTTAATGATAACGTTCAAGCTTTCAATAAACTAGACATACTTTACCACGCATCCGACCACCACATCCGTTTTCAATGACAATTATCGTCTCGAACAACTTAAGAGCAGTAATTATTACTTCACAATCAAATTCTTCCTCGTTAAATAAAGCAAAGAAAAACCGGTTGCTGAACCAATAATATGAAAGTAAAAGCAAGCACAGTGGAATTCTTAAGTGATAAATATCTCAATTACACATTTGTCCTTAATAAAGTTTGCACATTCTTATACGACGCTCATGCGCGTATTTCGCTTCGAATAAGGCGCTGTAGAAGAAGCAATTGATATTCAAGAATATGCAGGAGATACTAATCATGTAAGGCGCGGAATCTTTTCAGTTAAACATTGCCAACCCAATTTATTACAGATTATAAGTATGTAGCCATTACTATCTAACGATATCTAAAAAACTGGCAAAATGGTGAAACATATATCGTAAACAAAAACTGAATCTGTATCTTATATTGCACTGCAACCGGCATCTGCAAACTGTTATGTATATATAAAAGGTATGATATGACGCAAACATCCTTCCGTTGACCGATCTGAATAACAGGCCATTATAGAGACCAATTCATACTATAGTCATACGATACGGCTTTCCGCAAGTTTGTCTATAAATATTTGGTAATTTCGATGCTGTATTGCCCTTTTCTACGCAAAAAAAATTCATTTTGCAGTCCCGGTTCGACTTTTTATTCAGCACAATCCAGGGGTTTATCAGGTTTACTTTCAAATCCGATATTATTATATCTACATTGTTAGATACTCCCGCAGTGTGTGTACTGGGTTAGGCCATAATTTTATCCCAATTTTCCTATTTCCATTACGAGTTTTGTGACTGTCTATGTGTTAGCCAAGTGAATATCCCTCTTCCCATACATTTCAGTCCCTTTATACAAGTTAATGTAAAGTAGGCGAACAAAATTAGTTACCTACATACTGGTAAACACACTTCTGGAGCGCCGATTGTTGTTTAAATATAATGAACCTATTACCCTTGACATAAATATTAAACGTTCTACACTTCAAAGCTAATTTTGTTTCGTCAGTATTAGGCTTGCTTTTCTTTATATTTATACAATCAAAACAATTCTTCTTACAGCGTTACAAGTATTGTACAAGGGGTTCATTGAGCCTCTCGAATGTTCCGCACTTCCGCCTCACCCCACCTCCCCAGCCACTAATAAAAACATGTCAACTTTAATCCCAATTGAAATAAATCCATTGTAAAACAGTAAAAACAACCACGAAAGCCAACCAACGACAAAGCATTTTAATCACGACGACCACATTCTTAAAATATAGAATATCGCCTTGCAGACGGAAAATTCAGTCGGCTCTGTGACGACAACAAAACGTTACTTCACCAATTTTCTGAATCATTTTCACACCTACGGCTCTCAATCCCCTTATAAATATAACGTAGTAAGTATTAAACAAGGCTATTGAGGCTCGTGCTACTTTGGGCGCTCCAGAAGTGTGTGTACCAATATTGAGGTAGCTAACTTTGTTCGCCTACTTTACATCAAGTTGTGTAAAGGGACTGAAACCTATGGGTAGGGTGTATATTCACTTGGCTAAGACAGACAGTCCCAGACCTCGTAATAGGCTAATATAAGAAAATTCGGAATAAAATTATGCCCTAACCCTAACCCGGTACACATACTACGGGATTACCCTACTTTGTAACTAACCATATCAGAAAGTATATCTATAGGTGCGACAGCCCGTACTTACCCAACTCAAAGTGCTACAAGTTATTTTTCTGCGCAAACGCCTACTCATAAACTACTACTACTCATAAAATGAATTCCAACAATCACAATGACATCAGTCGTTAACCCTTGAATAAATAGATAACTTGCGTCACTGTCTGGTTCGTCGTTGTTATTATTATTATTCGTTTGTTTGCAAATTTTACCACCGTAATCCGATACCAACGTCATTTAGCGCGTGGGTAAAGAAGGTAAACAAAATTTGTACGTACAATGTTCTCAACTGATCATTTATACCAGGGGTGGACAACACGTCGATCGCGGTCGATCGACACGTCTCGAGCAGTCTCGATCGCGTCTGATGTTGAGT